AAAGATTTGGGCCATATCACCCAGCACTATGCTTTTGTGTTTCAAATGTTTTCAACCATGATGTTATCCACTGTTTTTATAAATCTGTCCTGGCGATTGTCACTAAACAAGCTTATTTTCTACAGAATGCAGAATGCATGTGCTTAAAACATTTAACTGTTGTCAATTAAAACAAGTTTTCATTCATATTTCCTGTCTTTTCTAAACTGAAATAAGGTTTGTTACGTGTGATATTTCACTTTCAGATTCATGATCTGAGGCTTGAAATCTCCCTTCACTCCTGTCTCATATTAGTGTACCTTATTAAAAATAGCTGTGACAGTAAACTCACCCTGTGTTGTTTCACATGCTGTGACTGGTGTCGACCACTCTGCTCAGAGTTGTGGCTGGTAGCTGTGGAGGCCGTGTCTCTGACCCTGGATGAATCAGATTTTGTGGAAGAAGACTCGGATCCGATGCCTGGCCCCACACCCTGGGCTGAGGATGGAGGAGAGCCGGCGGGCCCTCGGTGCCCGGGGCCAGGGTGCACCTGTTGAGGCTGGTGCTGAGGTAAGTGCTGTGTATATTGACTGTGGGAGGTGTGCTGCTGTTTGCGGTGGCGACGTTGTTTGGGCTGGCTGGGTTCAGGGCTGGTGCTGGTGCCATCGGTGAGGTGAGGGCAACCTCTGCCATATCTGTCCCCCGACACGGAGCCCCCAGTAGGCGACGGCCTCCTGTCTTTACGGCTGCTCTCATGGTGAGTATTGCGGCTGGGTGAGTGGGGGTAGTAATGAGGCGGGGGGCTACCGTCGTGGTTCCTCGCTGCGTATGAGATCAGTTTGTCAGGAAGGGAGCAGTCTGATTGTTTCCGAGGGCTGCTGCGAGCCGCTGTCTCCTGTCTCGGGCCCTCCCCTGAGCTCTTCCTGTGCTTTTTAGGTGGGAGCTGAGGCTTGATGGGGCCAGGTGATTGAGCTGGGGCAGGGGTCTTCCCAGTACTTTTATCATTGTTCACACCCAAGATGGTGAGAGCCGATGGACTTATGACCTGTTTTGTAATCTCATCTAGAAAGGCTGAGAATTGCAACTTTCCCTGCACAAAACTTGCCTTGGCCTGCTCTATCTCTACCTGAGGGGTCCCTTTCCCATTCTGTCCACTGGGATCTTGTCCTTTCGGGACTCTTGGGGAAAGCACCTCCATCGACTTAGCCTTGCGAATGTCAGTGTGGGGCTCCTTGTTCTTGAGGATGCCTTTGCCGGGTAGCTGACTGGAGGACACCGCTCTTTTGGGGCCCCTGGAGACCCCTAACAGAAAGTCCTCCTCACTGTAAGCCAGGCTACGGTTCAAACTAGCTGCCTTATACAGGTGTCCATGGTTGATGTGTTGTACCCTGGATTGTTCTCCTCCAAGATCACTTTCATTACTCTGCAGAAGGCCTTCTTCACTTCTGCTGTGACTTCGGTCAAGAGAAGCAAAACCACGCTTTCCCCTCTTTTGTACACTCTCATGTATCTCGCTGCAAACCGGGTCGTTGTCGCCGTGTTTGATGGTGGCAAAGACGATGGGCGCCCTGCTGTCGTCCTCCCTGAAACCCCGGCGCGCATCTGAGATGTTGGAGCAGGACAGGGAGTGCAGTGGCTGCTCCGCATGACGGAGAGAGAACGGATCATTTGAACTCTCCTCCGTGTGCCATGAGGAAAAAGAGGAGGAGGACGAGGATGACGAGAGGGAGGAGGAAGAGGCCCTAGAGAGAGTAACAGGTGTGCTGTGGTTGTACAGTATCTTATCCTCTCCGCTGTGGTAAAACTGCTGCGTTTGATGACGATGATGGGCGTCGTGATGAGGGCTGTCGTGGAGATAGCGACCATGTTGGTGGTGACGGTGGTGTCCGTGGCTTTCATCTGTGTTTCTGTCTGTCTCATCAAACATTGCGTACCTACAACACAAGGACACGGGAATGTTATTATTGACAATAACTGTTTTGTATGATATAGCAATGGTGCACATATAACTTTAAAACTTTTACCAGAATCTGTATATTTGATTTTAAAATGCAGATGCCTTCATGTGTAGTTTCTACAAAGAAGAATTATTTCAGGATGTATGTGATTTTATTTCTAAATGCCTCTCCCATTAGAAGTAGATGTGAATCTGTCAGACTGGAATGAAGCATCCTACCTGTGTGACTGAGGGTCATGTTGAAGGGGAAGTTGATGATGGTGGTGGTGCTTCCGCGGCTTGATCTCGTCCGGGCCAGAGGGGCTGTGAACAGGCTTAAAAAACTTCTCCATCACCTGTCTCCTCACTGGTGGAAGACTGTTGATGCCGTCCTGGTTGGGTTGACAAAGGGCACTGATGGGGAAACCCTGTACTCAGCTGTTTCCTCAAGCTTCTTTTTCTCTATAAGGCTGTAACTTGTCTGTCAATGTCAGCTTCAGAGATCACCACTTCAGACTGGATGATATTCTGCTGCTGTTTCTGACCACAAAAAAAGTTTAAGTCCTCAAAAAGTTTCCATCTCAACAAAAGATGAATTATCCAAGTGTTTCAGCAAAGTATCCAGCAGTCGGATTGTTTCTGAACAAGTTTGACTTCCTCAGCGACTGGCTGCAGAATAATGAAATCACAGCACGTCAGCAGGAATGTATGAATTCCTGGTTGGTGGCTTGATTTCGCATCACGCCTAATGTAACAGCTGGGCACTCATTGAACCAGCTGAAAGAGCAAGCCCTTTGTCCAAATACAAGAGACAATCGAACCGAGCCCTGTGGAACAGGATCAATAACGCGCTTCATTTAACCCCCTAATATAACTTGCAGAAGTGGGGTTTGCACGTATGTTTCTGCTGCCTCGCACTTCGTGGTTATATTCTTTAATCTCGTACGACACTTTTTGTTCAGTTTGTATTCACCACTACTGTTATTAATTTACAAAAAGCAGGGATGAGCATTAACCAAAGCTATTGAACCCGCCACAGCATGCCTCATTGATTTTGAGAGGTCTGCTACCATCTGGCTGAGGCCATGTGATCACATTCAGGAGGGGTGACGATAGATGCCGTGGGATGTTTAAATTTGTCAGCGATCAGAGGTTATGTTATACGATGTTTACTGTGGAAGCTATCCCTTTTGGGGTCTGTGGTTGTTTTAAATTATTCTTGTCAATATTGGAAAGCCAGACGCAAGACTGCTATAGATTTTATATGACTTTTTTAACATGATGAAGCGCTTTGATCTGTGAAGTGTCTAATTCCTGGTTTAGCAAACATTCTTTATTTTCAGGTTGTTTCGTTAATTAACTGTTTCAGTTTTCCTGATTTGTGTTGGTGTGCAATATCTAAATATTCCACAACTCAACCTCTGATACAGCTTTCATCTTCCTGAAACTTCCCAGTCATTATTACTGTTGATTACGCTCCACGGCTTCTAACACAATAACCAGAGTCACTCAATGCAAATTGAGAGCAACACCTTCATAATGACTTTGATTAGCAAGTATCACACAAAGGTCTTGATGAGCCTATAGCATTAACAGCCTGGCGTGTCATGTTTATCACATCACAGAAGATGCCTCCTTTTCTAATCTGTGTGACTATTTCCTGTCTAACAACATGACAAAGATCAATTCATTAAGGTTGGGTGGGACTGAAACTCAGAGGACAACGCCCCACATTGCTGATCAATGACAGTGAGTGATCCTGCTCACAATTTGAATTCATACTGAGCATTCATCCACAAATAAGAAATGGTGCACATCTTGTCTTTCTTGTCAAATGTTTTTAGAATATGGATTTGTTGAAACAGTCTAAAACCCCAAAATATTTAATTAACTATGAGAAGAAAAGCAGCTAATCCTAATTGGGAATGTTTGCCCAATTCATGACTTAAACTAGTAATCAGCTATAAGATTATTTCCAGTTAATTTTCTGTTGATGACTATTACTATCAGTACCGACGTAAAGATGGACAAGATCCCAAATTGACTGTGGTCAGACGCACAGGGTTTGGATGCTTGGCCTGAATATAATACTTTATTACCAAGCAAAGTAAGAGTTGCATATTCAAGGAATGCTTGTGTTTAGACAATTTATCATCTGAGAACTTAGGTTTCTTTATTAAAAAAAGAATAGTTTATCTGAAAGTAAAGATATAATTACTTTGGTATCTCAACACCACTGTCAATGACTATGAGCTATCAAGAGAAAAGTTACATATGGGAGGTTGTCCAGACTTGTCCAGGCCAGGATACTGTAAACAATGCAGAGGAATGCACCCTCTGCTGGTGAGAAAAAGTAACTCCCATTTTGGCCTTTCAGTCTGGTAATTTTCCACCCTGTCAGAGCAACACACTTTTCTGGCACTGGGTGTTTCTAGATATTTCTAGTTTCATCACGTACACTCTACAGCCAACACCAACACTGATACTGCACCACTCACTTTCCAGTTAAGTTGGACATTAAAGACTAAACTAACATAGTTGAGGCTTGTGAAATTGGGTCTACATGATGCATTTGATGTAAGAATACTGCCAGCATCAGCTGCTTTTAGGCATTTAATAAATCTACCAAAAAGAAACACACGTTATTGAACACGAGCCATCCAGTTTATAAGAGATGAGTTGACTGTTTTCTATTGTTTGTCAATTACAAGTAGCCTCGTATTGCAGTAAAGGGTAAAGAGATCCGGCAATGCAACCGTATTCTAGTTTGATCCGGTTTGTCGGACCGTGTTACACACAAGTAAAGATTAATCCGCGCAGCCGTTCCTGTGACGTCAGCTGTTTTTGGCTTTTCGCTATCATGGTGCTTTTCACTGTAAATTACATCACTGATTTATCATTAATTTCCCAGCGTAGCCTAGTGTTCTCATTTATTTTAATCAGCTTTCTGTTCTGAACTCGAACCTAAAGCCACAATAAGCTTTCGTAAGCGTTTTTCCAGTGTGAAAATGGGACTAGTTTTTTCCATGGATGAATACCTTCTCTTGCCGTAGCCGGATCACCCAAATAGTATAAATACCGCTATCGACGCCATTTCAACTCAGACTGCATTTGATACGAATTCGTCGTGGTGTGAGGCGGGCAGGTTAAACCGATCTTGTTTTGCTTTCGTTTGTTATCTTGAGTCTCGATATTTAGGGATGAGGATATCTTGGTTTAACCTACCTTACTTGATACTTGGTTTTTATTTTGTGTGTTGTGCTCACAGTCAGTGAGCGTTAGGCACTTGTGAACGCTTTAGCTTTAATATCAACGTTGAGTTGTGAGTCTCTTTTTAGCAACAACTTTTTGTTATCAAGCTTTCCGTTGAAAACGTTTCAGTGAACATGTTTAATCAGCCTAGAATATCTTCGGTCTGTAACGTTAGCATCGTATTTTTTTTTTTTTTTTTTTTCAACGCTAGTTAACGTTAGCTAACGGCATGCCACGCGAGCAAAGTATAGGCTCATGTTAATGCCAGCTTTCTGACGTTACTCCTTAACAATCGTTTTATATGCCAGAAAACAGATACCTGACTTTTCTCAGTGACGTTATATACTAGTTTATGTTGATAATGGAGCCATTCCAAGTTGTTTTTTCTAACTTTGGTAACGGCAGTTGGTTCAAGATGGGAGCCGTGACGTAGCAGCTTGTAACCGTTAGCCATTGGTTGATTTGAATAACTCGTGACGCGCTAAAGGGCGTGGTGGGGATTTGACCAGCTGCAAGGTTAGCCATCGCCGCAAAGCTACACAGGCGCAAATATTTCATTCCGTTAACAACCGAAGATACAAGAAGAAGAAGAAGCCTTAAATAACAGCGTTTGCGTTAAATGTTGCGCAATGACGTGTATAGAGAAGACATGAGTCGACCAGCTTGGTCATAAGGTAGCGTCTCAAAATAGACAGATCGGAATGTTACGACGGTTATAAAAAGCAAACTTAATCCTTTACAGAATAAAATCCACAGAGCAGTTAAGATATAAAAGCGATATGAATATTTATCAACGTGCAAGTTTTTGCATTATAAAAAAATTGGTTATATCATACCCCAAACAGCTAGTAGTAACATTTAGTAGAAAGGCACCCGTCTGAGACTAAAAAGAGCCGAAGTAGGAAAGAATGTATGTATGTATGTATTGATTATGAAAATTAAGTCTGCTGAATAGAAAAATGGTTAACAAAGGAAACTAGGTTGTTTTTTAAGGATCAGTCAAGATAATCATTTTTGTGGACCTTAAATATGGTGGCTGAGGCCTTGGTGTCTTTAATCTATACCATTGTCTAGACTCGATTTTTTTCTTGATTGTTGCTTAGCCATTTCCAGTTTCTTAGTAAAGGCCATGTTTTCAAGTTTGAAATTATTTTTCCTTTGACCAAAGAAACTAATCAGCCTGAAAGGAATCAAAGCTCAACTATGAAGAGCAGAGCTTTAACTGTAGCTCAAAGAATCACAGGCTCAGATGTTTTTGTTTTTTTTTTTGTTTGTTTTTTAAACCTTTTTGTTTGTTTTTTACCGCTTAGAGAAGAAAGAAGATGGGTTTTTTTTTTTTTTGGTTTTTTTTGTTTGTTTTTTTTCCCTCTTCTGGGGAAAATGGACTGAGTTGTGAAGGGGAGGAAATGGACTTAGTTAGATGAAGATCGCGGGACCAGTGCGGAGTGAGGCTGTGGTACACGGGGAGGACCAGCGTGTGGAGCCAGGCAGGACAGGACCAGAGGGTGTGGGAGAACCAGTGGTTCCAGGCAGGACCGGAGGGAAGAGCAGAGGGGCCCAGGAGAGCAGGAAGCAGCTGCAGCAGCTGGCGTGTACACCAGAGGGAGCCAGAGCCACAGGGCAGGGTAGCAGCAGCAGCAGCAGCAGAGTGGCCATCCTGAAGCAGTTGCAGCAGTTCCAGAGCAAGCCAGCCAGTGAAAGGGTGGGACGGGACTCACAAGGGTCTTCTAGCTTCACAAGTTTAAAGCGAGGAGTTGGTTTGTATATTGGGTAGCGGTATCTCTAACATTCTCAGGCAATTAGTTATTTCACTTATTCCAGAAGCAATTGTTTTGGAACACAATTTCTCGCACAGCTCTCTTCCTCTTTTCAGGCAAGCCGTGTAACGCGTTGTGTACTGTGGTCACCCCTCCTGTTGTGCGCTGACTAGAGTGTGGTGATGTCTGCTGTGATGAATGCCTTGGTAGTGTGCTGGCGAGAGGAACATCTTTTCGGACTTCTCTACTCCACTTCGATCACAACTAGTTCCCCGGGCCGATGGAGAGGCAGTCCCTTTGTTGTTCGATAGGTCCTCCTGAAAGAAGCTTTCGGCATTGGAGTGTGAGAGTGGATGGTCTCCTGAGTGGATGGTCTCCTGTCTGGCTGGTTGATGCGCGTATACTGCAACCTTCAGTACTTCAGCGTCACACCATTGGTACAGATCAGCTACATCTACCTCTTAACCTCAGCAGTGAGTTAATGCATGAAATGTACATGTGGGTGTAACTATCCTGTACATTAACTCTTCGTTGCCTACACTGTTTAGTATAGTAATTTTTGCCATCAAAAGAAGAAATGTTTTGAAATAGTTGATCCTGGTTTGTAAAAAACAAATAGAAAATCTTGGAGGGTTAGGGGGAGGGGGCTTTTAAAACGTGTTTCGAGTTTTTCTTTCCACAGGCCTGGCCCCCTAAAGCGGATCAACGAAAGAATACCCTCATCCTAACCTCTCGATACACGTTGAGCTCATCTTAAATATTATAGCGCTGTGGATCGGGATCATTCGCACCCGTTGCGGTTTAAAGAGATGTAGGAAGGTATTTGGTATTGTTCAATAAATCCATTAGATTCTTTATTGATTCTACCCTTTTTGGAACGTGTTGTAAACTGGGTTTCATGGTCATCATTTGGGAAATGGGAGGGTGGGGTTGTGGGGCGTTAATCCGTCTCTTCCCTAGACTTCACAGCTCCGTTACCCAACACAAAAAGGCTTGAATAGGAAACCTCCAGGTGCACCCAACAAGATTCAAGTGGACTCGTTGCCTCGCAGGATAGCAACTTCAAAACTAGTCCCCTGGTGTAGCAAGAAGCTCTGTTTTCCTAGGAGTGCGGTAACAAGTCTCTTTACTAGAAGTCATTGTAATTCTGTACAGGCTTCACGTTGCTCTGTTGGGTTGGGAGGGGCTTGTGTATTTGTGACTCTTGCAGATTAAGTTATATGGCCCGCCCTTGAAAAATCTACATTCAAGTCCACGTCTACAGTTCCTAAGGAAGGAATCCGCTGCGTTCAGGCCTGCGGTATTTAAATGTTCTTCTGGGAAATATCATAAATCTTTTTATGAATTGTATTCGTAGTGATGGTTGTGTCGTTATTATGAGAGTACTGTAACGAAAGTAAATTCTCTTGTAGTTCTGTACTGCATCATTGGAGGGGTATTGTGGGGAGTGGCTTTTTCCTTTGCATTTTTCAGTGTGCTGTGTCCTGTGCGCTTTCCAATACCCGAGACCACCAGGAATTCTCCTAACTCATTGTTTGTACAAGTTTCCTTGCGCATCGAGCATCACGTAAGGTCACTGAACGTGTTCACATTTCTCTTAACATTCATTGTCTGGCTAAATACCTTCATTGCAAGTCCTTTGCAATTAGTTACTATACCTTGTATTGACAATACAATGAGTGAACTATCTGTAAAGGATTTTCTTATTGCGTAATAAATGCATAGCTTGTTGTGATTTGAATACAGTTTTGGTATGCATTTGTTCTTCTTGGGTGCTTGTGTGGGGGGAGCTTTTCTTGTGCTTTTTCAGGTATGACTAAAGCTTGGAGCTTGGTAGAGCACGGATGTGACCAGGGCTTGAATGACATCCTTTTCAAAGTGGAAATGGAAGGCAGATAAGTTGAATCCATCAGATATTGATGTTGGAAAGTGGAAAATTCTCAACCCGAGGGGTTCTTATCTTGACTGGCTCAACTGCCCTCATTTTTCTTTAATGAAAGCAACTTGCTATACTTGACAGTAGAAATAGCACCGTTGTGCTTTCTTAACAAGAGTGTTGTGATAACGGGAAGATTTGATGTACCTTCATTGACTCTGACGTTATTTGCAGTAAAGCATTTGGGTAAGGATAACAATGGTCAGTTCTATGATACTGTGAGGGGGGGGGGTCTCTCTTTACTGCCTCTTTGATCTTACAGAAGTGTCGAAAGGAAGAATGCAGTCTACCTAGGACAACACGGGAATCACCCTGCCCTTTGAAATCAACCAACACGCAGTTTGAACAAATGGAGTCAGGTTGTCTGTGTGTAGTCTGGAACAATTAGCCCTCAGCTGCTCGCCCTTGTGCAACTGTGCAAGTGGCAGGTTGATCATACAAAATTACTTTGCAGTCGCGCAACTGTGCGAAGCTTTCCAAATGTAAGTAGCTGAGGAACGCTGTGCATTGTGCAGCTTTAATTTGGTCTGAAATGCAGCAGCGCAAAGGCGTTGCTTTTGTGTTTTGGTTGGGTGTATCCCTACACTTCTCTTCACAGACAACGGGTGCACGAGTGAAGTCCTCTAACCTGGAGCGTGTAGTAAGATGTTGGCTTAACTTGTCAAAATAAACTTCTGCAATGTTGTAGTTGACAAAATGACATCTTGGAACTGGCTTTATGTTAACCTCAAATCATCAGTAACAAGAATGCTTTACTAGCATATTCTCTTTAGCCATGGGCCCTACTGCTTTGCATCTTAAACCATAAGATGAGTAGAACTCAAATCTTTGAGTATTGTGTGGTGGGTGTTGTGTAGATCACTCTTTGTTTCAGATCATTTTCGTCTGTCCGCCCCCGATCTCGCCTGCCTCTGAATGCAAAGCCATCTGTGGAAGCTGTCCTCAAATATGAGTGTGGTCCCTGAATGACGTTCCAACCCCCCCTGTGCGCTTGAGCTTAAATCTGAACCCCCGACGTCCTTCGCAGAAGCCCCGCTCTCTGTGTTTGTGTGCCTCTTTTTCTTTCCCCTTTTTGGTTTCTCAGGTCAAAATTTCCCTAACATTGTCTTAAATTGTCATCCGGGATGGCCTAACCTGTGATGGAGCACTGAGAATCCACTCGCATTAAGATCAAGAGCTGCAAGCTTATCTCGCATACACTGCATCACTTCAGTCTCATGGGTGTGAAGTTAAGTAATTTTGGTTCCCTTGATTTTTCTTTAACATACCATGGCTTTAATGTGTAACTCAACATGTTGCATGCACATCGCCTCTGCATAACATTTTATTCGTAACACACAACCTACTATTCATGAAGTCGTTGTCAAACATTGCAGTAGTATTTGGTCGGAGGGAGGGGGGGGGCAACAACATTCTTCTCTCTTCCTTTCAGATTTCTCGTTCAGCTTAAGTTGATACTGAGCCAGGCGACTAAACCTCTGCGGGGAGGCGTGACTTGGTACAGCCCGCCTCTAGGATACGCTCTTAATGCATCACTGAATAGCTGTGGTAAATGCTGCTATGCCAGTCGCGGTAAACAATGAACGTATTGACATAATTTGTCGTATTGACAGAAAATTGGTGTGTGGGGGGTGGGGGCAGGGCTTAAATTGTGTGTTTTTCCATTACAGCAGTAAACTTCACTGTCCGTATGACCAGCAAGTCCAGCTGAATGTCAAAGGGAAAAATGTTTCACCGGGGACGCTGGTATCGTGGCTTTGTTAATCTGGATAAAGTGATGCGGTGGATTCAGTGTTGTACCAATGCTTTGTCATGGGGAATGCTGGGGATTGTGGAAACAAGTGTCTTGTCTTCTAGTTTCAGCCTCGTGACCAAGAGAAATCCCCATGTGGTGACAGCAAATTATAGCAGCCAGGTGTTTAGTGGTTTTCTTTTCCTAGAGGAACAAACTGCTTCTGTTTTTTGTTCCTCCAGGTTTTGCTTTTACCCGTAATACAGCAACAACAAAAAAGCAAAAGACTCCGGTGGTGGCACTCCTGACTTTGTCAGGACAGGGTTCAAGCCCCTGCGGTGTCTTGCTTTATAGTATGCTGTGTGGGGAAAACTGATGTAGCCATTCAAAGGACTTTTCATATTGTGATATGGAAGTCAATTTAAGCTGGATTAAAATATATAGGGGACCTTGCATCAATAAGGGTTGGGTTTTAAGTATGTTGAGCTAGCAATTTTACTGTTCCACATTACATTTATTACGCAAAATAACTGCACAAAAGTTCATTACCTAAGACTGACTTTGACAACAAGAAATGGGACAGTTATGGTTATAATTTAAACATGTTTGAAATGTATTTTGTGCCTTAGTGTGATTTGTAAGTGTTTTTAATGTATAAACTAATAAAACTCTTGTTACCCTGCCTTACAATTTGACTTTCACTCATATTTTCTGGTTTGGCTGTATCTGAGCCTAAGGGGTTTGACAGATGAAGAGGACTTGGTCCAAGTGAAGACATGGACGCATACTCCGATCAAATCAAGATACTCTGGGTACAGATACAGAATCAAGATACAGAACAAACTACTTTGTTCTGTACTAATGTCAAAATTCATAAATGATTACACGCCTTATATTTTCTTTGGCTTTCTATCGTTCTCTGAATGGTATTACTGAAAAAGGTATACAGTTGAATTGTCTGCGTACCAAAAGGGTCGTAAAAAGCTAGACATGTTTTTGTTCACTGCAGAGACCCTGATGCCAACATATTGCACATATCTTATTGGTCTAACTGAAGAGTTCTATTATAAGCATCTAATAGTCTTAACCCTGTCAAGTGTGGTGATGTGAGTTTTGTTAGGGCACTTGCTTCCAGGGGTTAGGTGTCTGACAGTGGAGTGATCATTTCCTGACACTATACAATATATGAAAATTTGTTTTATGCTCAAATGACAAAAAATAAATGTATAAAATAAAGTTGCCATGATGAGTCACCAGAGCAGCTTTGTTCATTGTAACCCATCTGTGTTTAAGCTAGAGTAAAGTAAAACATGAGATGCAAACATGACTAAAATTCAAACTACCATGGTAAATACTTCCATATTTCTGTTGAATCTCCACTACTTTACTCTGGTTGCTTTGTTACTGTCTCTCAATTCACCTCGTCGACCTTGGGGACGTCATTGCTAACATGCTACCTAGACTGAATCTATCATGTCATAACAGATTGCCTTATGGGTCAACACTAAAGTGATCTATGGCAATTTAAATATTTCTGGGGCCCTGTTGACTCCGTTTATGGCAACAAACTGACAATCAATAAGGGACCATTGTGGTAATGTCTAAATATCATTATTTAATGCTGACATGAACTTCCAAAGTGTAGATATTTATTTTTGTTCATAAATACAGAACACCTGTTCAGTCCTCCAACGAGCAATAATATCTAAAAGGAGAATTTGCACGAGGTCATGTTGTGACTCACCCACAAAAAAGGCGTCGATATAATTTCAGATTCTGACTTGTAAAAATGTATTTATTTATATATCTAAATGCAGTTCTTAGTTAGCATGCCATCGGTGATTCATTTTAACCTGCTGCGGAACCAATGTGCAGAAACGAAGTTTTACCCGGAGCCAGTTTACTTCCGTGCTAGTTGCTAGCTAGCTAGCGTCCTATAGCTCTCTAGCTAGCAGTCTGTTTAGTGTGTTTGTGTTTGATGCGGTGTGTGGAGGAGGAAAGAGGAGATGTGGTCCTTTTTTGCCAGGGATCCTGTCAAAGACTTTGCTTATGAAATTCTGCCAGACATCCAAGAGAAGTCTGGAATATGGAGTCTCCATCGGGGGAAGCGAAAGGTAAAAAGAGGCAAACCGCCACTAACGGTTAGCCGTTAGCCTCTTTATGGAGGCCTGCCACTTGACCGGCTAGCTAGCGTCTGTTTGCTTCTTTGATTTAGACCTTTAGATACGATGCCCGGTGTCATATTCTCGTATCTACATGTCAGCTCTGGGCGTATCTTTCTCCTCGTTCTCGCTGAATCAATGTCAGTGCTCATTTATTTTATTTTCTTGCTCTGAACATCGTTACTTTTCGCTAACGAAGTGGGTCAAAGCTTTGTTTACTGTGATTAGACCGACACGTCTTTTCTCGCCACGTCACCTCCTTTTTAAGCAGAGTTTACTGTTATTGAAACCGTTTTCATGCTAATGTTTTATCACATAAATAAAGATACCGTCCCTCATCACCGACAGCAACTCGCATAACTAAGATGATTATCTTTGAGCAGCTCAATTTGGACTTTTAAGTGTCATCGCTACTGCATGACCAGGGAAAGACAACCAAGCACCTGCTTCCTGTTTTAAGATAAGATAAGATAAGATAATCCTTTATTATTATTATTAAATTTACAGGATTGCAGCATAATAGAGGATAGTGCAAACAAGAGACATAGTAAAAACAAGATCAAAACAAGTATTATAAATAGGTAATAAACAGTAAAGAATATTAACTAAGTAAAAAGTAAGAAATCCACAATAACTAAAATATAACTAAAAATACTATACATACAGACACAATACATTTTTTGTATTGCACAGTGTATTAATATTAAACATATTTTTAGAGTTGTAATTTATGTTTGATGTGATTTCAAAGCATAAACGTTAAATATTATAATGTCTTAATGATCACAAATCACTGAACCCGTGTGATTGAGTAATTTTACCCAAATCTGCATCCTCAGACCAATGGAGAGCCAGTGTCGGTGTTTATCTACGAGCTGTCTCAGGGAACAGAGCAGCAGACCCAGCTGGCCAAGGCTGCCTTCAAGCGGATGAAGACCCTGCGGCACCCGAACATCCTGGCTTATGTGGATGGATTGGAGGTGTGTGTTTATATGTATTTTGCATCTGGTAGCTCTACACACACAATGCCATTGTTTAAAGTGTTCAGAGGACAATGTCACTCAGCTTGCTCAATGTATCTGTCATATTATTAGTGTCTCATCTCGGCCATCTTGCTTTTCTTTGCATGTTTACGTTCAGATAGAGGTGAGTGTGAATACGCCAATGTAGGCCTTTTAATATTTGTAGTGAGTAGTGTACTACATACCATAAGCAGATTCTTACTCTGTTTTATCAGTTTTGTGTTCCTAACGAGATCATAAAACACCCTAACTAACTATGCTGTACTCCCATTACAATCACACACATGAAATTGGTGCATCTGTTGCATGTCTTGCCAAAAGTATGAATTGAAAATCAAATTCATCAAGGAAAATGGGACAGTTGCTTGTCCGCCTTTGTTGGTTGAATATTCATAATTCTGTGGAGGATTATCATTCAATATAACTTACTAGTTTAGTATAATTCCTGCCATAAATTCCTTTTAAATGCTTCTGTGCTGTGTTTCTCTCACAGTTTAGTAGGTCTGGGTAATAATTCAGTATTAACATTTACTGCCTTTCAATCTGTGGTGATGAAACAATGTTTATTATGAAATAGGGGTTTTGCGATATACTGGTATTGATGATAAGAGTTACATAAAATAAATAAATATTGATATCATGTTAATAATACACATTTGATCATACTGAGTTAATAATCGAGGGCCTTCCAAGTCATCGTATATATACTGTTATGATTACAGACTGATAGCGTTATTATTATTATTATTATAATTTTTTATTTATCATATTTTATAGATATCATGATAACATTATTTTGGTCACTATGACGTGTTGTGAATATCTGATATTGTGACAGCCCTCTATGAAACATTGTTGTATAACACATATAAATATATATTTTTAAACTTCATTTCACAGACAGAGAAGAGCCTGTACCTGGTTACTGAGCAGGTGACACCGTTGGCAGTCCACCTGAAGGCCCAGGCAGAGAAGGGGGGATCTGGGGAGCTGGAGGTCTCCTGGGGACTGCACCAGATAGTGGTGAGGATAGGAGAGAGCGCCATCGGATACTCTTAGGGGAGCCATTTCTCCGTAAGCCCTTACGCCGCTTCTTCCGTTTGCCTCCTCCCACAGAAAGCTCTGAGTTTCCTGGTCAATGACTGCCACCTGCTCCATAACAACGTGGGTGTATCCGCTGTTTTTGTGGATCGAGCTGGGGAGTGGAAGCTGGGGGCCCTCGATCATGTGTCCCCTGAGCAGGGTGACCCAAGTGGGGTCTCACTCCCCACCCCAAAGGCTGTTTACCCAGACATGGAGAGATATGACCCACCAGAGATGTCCAATAGCAGTGGAGAGAAATGGTGAGAGAAGTGTGTGACAGAATAATAATAATGTTTTATACAGGAAGAAAAGGGGAGCAGCAATAAGAATATTTGGACAAAGTAGAAATGACAGAAAGAAGAGATTCAGAATAGGACTCATTGGTTACTGCCTAGTTTTTTGTGGATATGTTTGTATTGAACTGTAGGCGTGTTTGTTTTAGGGCAGGGGAGGTGTGGCGGCTAGGCTGCCTGATCTGGGAGGTGTTCAACGGGCCACTGCCTCGCACGTCCTCCCTTCGTTCACTGGGAAAGGTATGACGCGCATGAGACGCACATATTTTTGCTCAGTTGCCTTCAAGCAATGACTTCAACCTGCAGTTGCTTCATGGTTTCAGTGGCTGCTGAAAGGATTGTAGTTGTTCACAGTCTTGTGTTCTCTCCTGTGTGTCCTCTCTGTGCCCACAGATCCCCAAGGCCCTGGTCCCTCATTACTGTGAGCTGGTGGGGGCCAACCCCCGAGCTCGGCCCAACCCGGCCCGCTTTCTCCAGAACTGTAGAGCCACCGGGGGATTTCTCAGCAACAGCTTTGTGGAGAGCAACCTTTTCCTGGAGGAGATACAGGTCCACAGACTTGCATAAAGACATGTATATCACTGGTGTTTGTATTAGTGTTTGAATCGAACCTTAACAGTAAACAAATCGAGTTCTAGTGGAACTATCATGGGACGCATCGTATAATTTGATAAAGTAATTACCAGCGAATAGCATCGTAAAATGTATGATAACTAGTGATAAGACAATAGATTAGCGTATAGCGTATATTCAAACTGTCTCTCTCTCCAGATCAAGGAGCCGGCTGAGAAGCAGCAGTTCTTCCAGGATCTGAGTGACAATCTGGACTCCTTCCCTGAAGACTTTTGCAAACATAAGGTCCTTCCTCAGCTGCTCACCGCCTTTGAGTTTGGCAATGCAGGCGCTGTAGTCCTCACACCGCTCTTCAAGGTGAATCTTTCAACTTTCACACCTCGAATATCACACCGTATACTCCAGCGTCTCCAGCATCTCTGATCATTTTCACAGTAAAACATAAAACATTGTTACTGGTATTATTCTCTTGTCATTTGGAAGTTATTCTTCTATCCTCTTTTGTTTTTAAATCCCTCATGTCTTTCTGTTCGTCGGCTAGGTGGGGAAGTTCCTGTCGGCTGAAGAGTACCAACAGAAGATCATCCCTGTTATCGTGAAGATGTTCTCCTCCACAGACAGAGCCATGAGGATACGACTGCTGCAGCAGGTGTGTGAGGCCTTTTCCATCTAGCAACTGACACCGTCCTGCAGTGATACAGTGGACATGTTGGTTGTGTTGTTCCATCCAGCACGAATACAAGACTTTTCAGCTCTAGAGCAAGGGAAGAACATTCAGTTCAAAGTAGGATGAAATATCAGAAACAGCAGTAAATGATATCCCTATTTGCCATTTTTAAGCCTGTGTTAAAGGTTTTAAACATTTATCTGCTCTAACATTGTTTCTTGTCTCTGTCCATGTCTCTTGTGTTTCAGATGGAGCAGTTCATTCAGTATCTGAATGATGCAGCAGTCAATTCCCAGATTTTCCCTCACGTTGTTCACGGCTTCACAGATACCAACCCTGCCATCAGAGAACAGACTGTCAAGGTAGTTTGCATGTTTTGAACAAAAGCACAAACCAGGAGGTGTTACTACATATTACCTGTGTACAGGATGTTATCGGCCTCCTGTGCCATCACTCTTCTCTGTTTCTCCGTATCACCCTCCAGTCTATGTTGCTGATGGCTCCCAAGCTGAATGAGAGCAACCTGAACCAGGAGCTGATGCGCCACTTTGCCCGACTGCAGGCCAGAGACGAACAAGGCCCGATCCGGTGCAACACCACCGTCTGCCTGGGCAAGATCGCCTCCTACCTCAACGCGGGGGTAGAGTACACCCACACCACTGTGCAACACTTAAGTCATTTAATGCCCAAAAACCACTTGAACCAAAGTTCAGTGAAGATTCCATTCAAACCCAAGAATTTGTTCATCCCTCTCTTCACAGACTCGACAACGTGTTCTGATTTCTGCATTTTCACGAGCAACTAAAGATCCCTTCCCGGCTTCACGCTCCGCCGGCGTACTGGGCTTCGCTGCCACACACAACTTCTACGGCGTAACAGAGATTGCCGCCCGCATCCTCCCTACCCTCTGCGCCGTTACTGTTGACCCCGATAAGAGCGTCAGAGACCAGGTACACACGACTGATGGAGATTTGTGACATGGTGCTTCTTATGGCTTTTTACGTCCCTACAACCACAGTGTCTATAATATCTTTGATCAACTTGCTGATGTATTTCTGCTCAAGGTGTTCTCTCTTGCCTTTCTCTCTCTGTCAGGCATTCAAAGCCATCAAGAGTTTCCTTTCCAAGCTGGAGACCGTGTCAGAAGACCCCACCAAGCTGGCGGATATAGGTACGTAGCACACTGCGCTGAGCTGCAGAGTCTGCTCTCTACTTTAATGTCTCATTCAGCAAGGAAACCAGTGTGTAACTTGAAACTGTCTCGTCCTGCAGAAAAGGATGTAGCGTCCTGTGCTCAGCCTGCAGGTGCGTCTTCCAGCTGGGCCGGCTGGGCTGTGACTGGCATGTCCACGATAACGTCTAAGCTGATCCGCAACGCTCCGGGGACAGAGGGTAGCGCAGCAGCTGAGGACAGCGAGCCCGCTAATGCCACCAGCCCTACCAGTGCCACAGATGGAGCACCTGTACCTGGTAAGGTTATCACATTTGATTTAGAGCATTTTTAAAAGGAGCATCAAAGTCGATGCAGCAGAACCAGAGATATTGTCTTATTTTTTAATTCTTCTTTGTCAAAACCTTCCTCTTTAAGAAGAAGTCCTTAATATGTTATCGGAAACCATATCTCTTGTTTTGATTTCTTTCGCAGGTTCTGAAGAGAGAACTCCTGAAGCCCCTGTGACTGACCACGCTGCCTCCAGCCATGCCAACCAATCACAGACTCATGAACTAACGGTCAATGATGAGGAGCCAATAGGAGACCGCTGGGATGAAGAGGAGGACTGGGGAAGTTTGGAGGTAAGATTTCACCACTTTTGACTGAAAAACGGATTATGTTTTGCATTATCTGTAATTGTAATTTCTGTCTCCGATAGGCGCCAGAGAAAACTCTCACTGAGCCAGATGACTGGAACACTGACTGGATGGCATCATCCAAAAAGAAAGCCAGTGTCAAAGGAGTATGATCCCTTTAATCTTTATCCATTATACAATACTATCTGTAGTGCTAATACGACTACTTCCAATGCTACCAACACCACTGGAATCAGTATTATAATATAGTTTATTGTGTAGGTTTGACACTGGGCTGAAATAGTATATGTGTGGAAACCAAGACAATATTCAAATTCAATATTTGTTTTTTATGTGGATGTGAAAGAACCAAAGAAAAATCCCACACACTTATATTCACTTTATTAACAGTGTTTCAATGCTCAGACCGTAATCGTGAACAGTTCATAAATCCAAATGTTGCGACAGAGAGCGCTGCAGGAATGAGTACTAAAACCCAGAAGGGCGTTTGCATTTTTGCACCTCCGATTCCCTCGTCTCAAAGTAGATATTAGTTCTTTTTTTTAATGGGTTTTTGGTGAGATGACTGAAATAAGGTCTGAGGTTAACACACGCTAAAGAGTATTTCATGTTTTTCTTATTCAACATGCAACACGTCACTAAATACTAATCTGTCTCTAAAAATGCGGCTGCTAAAAACTGGCTAAATGAGACAACAAAACGTCATCACACCAAACACTAGTCTGCCTTAATAAGCTTAGCGGTGGTGACATGAAGTCACATGACGGTGGTTGCCTAACATTAGTCCTTTGCTTCTTATTGTATTTATGCTTCAAAAATCATAAAAGTGGTATCATCTTTTGTTCTTTCCCCGTCACGGTTTGTGATCTGACACCTGACTGTAAGATTGTATGGTGTCCAAGAACGTTGTTGTCAGCGTTTTCTATGTAGATAAAAAAAAGTTGTTTTAAAATAAATATTACTATAATTAGTCTCCATCTCAAGCGTCAATCTTTCCCCATGTCCAGGCGGGCCGGGCGTCGTCCTCCATGGCGGGGAAGAAGCAGAGCGCTGACTGGAGCAGCTCAGGCTGGGACGCAGACGACAGCTGGTCCAACGAGAAGGAAGGGCCGGGTCAGAGCTCTGCGGGCGAGGAAGGCTGGGGCAACGACTGGGGGGAGGAGGACACGGACACAACCCTGGCCAATGCGACGCTCCCCCTGCCAGAGGGAGTGCGGTTAGCCAGCGAGTACAACTGGGATGGCAGCAGCTCGGCCACCAAGGCGGCCAGTCAGAATGATCTGTTCGCCAGCGTGTCCCAGAGAAACACAGCCGGCACTGCTGCCACCGCGGTGAGGGAGGAGGGAGGCAAACACACAGAGGAGCGAGAGAGAGACAGAATAAAGTGGTGTTGATTGGATCATTCTGATCATTCTGAATGTTGGTGATATCGGATGTATTTATAGAGTTGTCCTCTGAAGAAGATATTAAACAGAAACCATTGGATGACATGGAAGATTCAACCACCTGCTTTAAAGGAATAGTTTGACTTTTTGTAATACACTTTCTTGCTCAGCATTAGCTCGTGTCTGTACAGTGAATATGAAGCTGGAATCTGCAAGCAGTTAGCTTAGCTTACATTCAAGACTGGTAATAAACTGTCCAAAGGTTAAAATAATTCACCTACCAGCACCTCTTTAGGTCACAACTTGACATGTTACATCTCATTTGTCTAATCACTATAACAACCAAAGTGTTAATACAACAAGCTATGGTTTCACCGGGAGTTGCATGCTGAAAGGTTTTAAGGTAATAAGACTGCACTCACTTGATGAGATGTTGTAGGTCAATAAATCTTGATGAAATGAGGACTATCATGACAGTACAAGTATTTCAGTATAGTGACGTGTGTATTTCTCTGCTTGTCAGACTGGGGAAGGCTGGACTGCAGAGGCAACAGGAGATTGGGGAGCTGAAGAGAGCTGGGAGTCAGTGGATGGGAACCAGGGTAAGTCTCTCAGCTGGCCTCCCTCATCAGAAATATGAACCTTTTTTTACTTCTCTGTCCGACGTCTTCTGTATTCACACAAAACTGTAGTTATTCTTGTTAGATGACCATTAACTAATGTACTGTATGCCTGTCTTCATTGTCAACCAGGTATCAGCAAGGCCGAGCTTTCCAAGAAGAAACGTGAGGAGAGGAGGAAAGAGCTGGAGGCGAAACGGGCAGAGCGCAAAGCTGCTAAAGGTCCTCTTAAACTGGGCGCACGCAAGCTGGACTGACAGGGATGCAAAGAAAGATGTGAGGGTTGGGTTGGAGAGGGAGGAACATGGACCACAGTGACTGGACCCGGAGCAGTAGATGGAGGCTTGACATTCCACAAACAAAGGACCAGAAAGAACAGTCAGAAGGAAACATTACTGTTGGTTAGTACAGTAGATGACCATCAGCTCTGGGATTCCCTGTTTTTCTTCATTCAGGAACTGACAGATGGGTGAAGAAGCAACAATCCAGTCCTTTATGAATGCATTGTTGTGGATGGCAGTGCTGAAACAAACAGAGACAGAAACGTGGAAAAGCGGCACAGAGCAGCACTCCCTGCAGCCCGAGGGTTCCTTTTTTTTTTTTTTTTAATACATAACATATAAAGTTGCAGTTGTAAAGTAAATGTATATAAATACTGCATCTTGTCTTAAAATGACAAAGAAATTACCCTTTTTTTTTTTTTTAATTGAGAAATATACAGTATACAACAATATTTCAGAATCAAACATGTATTATTATACTGAATGTTTTTCAGCACGTACACATACACACACACACACACAGTGGATATGAATGTTTTAGTTCAGCCGTCACTTACAGATTTAAGACTTTAAATCGATCCATGCATGCACTTGTGTATTTTTATGGCCTAACAAAAGGTTTCATGGCCCAGAATTACAAATATGTTGTTTACTTTGCACATTCAACACTGCATTTTGCTGTACTGAGCTGGCCTGACGGGGGACACGTTTGACTGGTTTCTGATCTGTTAACGTGTCGCATGCACTGCAGACACATGATGTAAATAAGTAGTTAAATTGATGCTGGTGAACTGGTTTCAAGGGAAAATCAATGTATGTGTTTACATGCCTTTTTCCTGTGTGTCCTGGTAGTGCTGTGGTGGAGGAGTTCATGAAATCCAATGAGTCATTTTTTAAAGCAATGGGTGTGGTCAGGGTGAAGGAGTTCCTCTAAAAGTTCCTTTAACTCTTTTATTTGTGCCTTTATTTAATAGAACAGATCTGCTCTGTAGGATCACTTACAACAACTCAAGTTTAAACTCCCGCGAGCAGATTCTGTGTTTTCATCAAACCTTTCAGTGTAACCCCCATATCTCCTGTCTGTGTTGGATATGGTATTGTTAGGTTTGGTGTTGCACACCATGTAAGGAGCTCTGACTCAACCAGCAGCCGTCACCTTTGGAGCTAATGTCCTGGTGTTCAGGTCAGGTAAGGAACTAAGCTGCGTTTAGTTCAGATTGACTCCAGACTGCAACCTTCCACTGATAATCCAAATCATGTAGCATGTGAGCTGTTCTAAAAATAAAGATAAGTTATATAAATGTATGTTTCTTTTTTAAATTAAAAGACTGTAGACATCCTCCTCCACAGTAAATGTATGAGCCAAGAATGTATTGAGTTGTCTTCAGGAGGACATCCATCTCTGAGATGTCTGCCTCCACCACAAAACAGGTCAAAATGGCTTCAGACCTAAATGTGGACTATTTCTTCATTATAAAATATGGGAATTATAGAAATACTTTTGCTTATTATCCATTCACCTCCATTGTACTGGGCTCTGATTCTGGAGAGAGATCTTGCTGTTTTGTTTTAAATGCTGTAAGCGACACAAATGAACCTTCATTCATTTGTATTGAGGTGCAACGAGAGGTAATAAATAGTCTATGTGGACCGCTGTAGAGTTTAAACTCCATACACAAACATTTTCTTTTCTAACTACTGTAACCGTTGGTACAATAACATGTGTTGTCATTGTTAGTAGCCTAACTATTGCCATATTTGGTTCTTTACTTTAACGATTAGAGAGATTGCGTACAATAAATGAAAGCACATCCATGCGCACAATAGCCTAAAGCCCCCACTGCCAACATTGTGAGACAAGGGGCATTGTAAATATGCAGCAACGCTTAGACATATAGTCTAGTTTATATAAACTAGTTTATATATTTGTATGTACAAACATATGACGTTTCAGAAAAACCTCGGGTGGCATGATGAGGCATTGGTGAGACATAGACATTTCGATCAGTCACCTAATAGAGATGAAATTGTTGAAAGCTCAACGTGAAAACTGTTTTCTGATTTTGGAGACGTTGTGCGTGCGCCTCCGCCAAACGCGTTTGTGGCTTTTGCGCTGTGTAGGCCTGTATGTTTATGCAATGTTGATTCTTAGTGTACGTGTGGAGAAGGACTAGAAAGATCATGGTGGATCTCTCCTTTGCCATACTGTCAAAGTTAGAGCAGCTCAATGACACCATACCATACCGGAATGATATTGATTTACAAACAGATCCGGAAGAGCAGTCAGACAGAAACACAATAGGCTAAAAAAAACTATTTACAAATGCAACGTGTTTGGACGACCTGCTAAACAAACGGGCTGAAAACTTTACAATCACTTATAGTATAGCCCAGATTTAACACATGAAGTAATTTTATCTGCGACCAAACGAATGTTTAGAGAGAAGTGAAAGTAAAAGTAAACTTTGTTCTTCTCATGTATCAGGGTGAGATATAGGAAGTGCGCAAAGCAGATCGAACAGGAACACTTTGCTCAGTTGACCAAAGTACGGATGTTGCTGATGAACAACTGAACACCCTTCGGTCTATCTTAACCGTATATTAAATAGACAAGTTCTTTTTTTTTTTTCTTGGGAAAAAAAAAAAGATGGATGATAAGAGGTATCAATGTCTTCTAGCGATTACACAATTACTCTTTGTGATTACAAATGAGTTCAGGAGTTTTATGGAACACCGACCGGGGCTAACGGAGGTACGCAGTTACATTTAGGCACATTTTAACGGTTAATTTGCAATAACAGATCTCCGTTTTTATATATTATATTAAATCATGTTTTTTTGTGTACTCTTGGGTAGTTTCGAAAAGATATTTTTAATACAAATATTTTGTATAAATGTGTTTTTTAGTTAGTTATTATATTTAGCCTATCTGTATTCATTTTTAAAATGGCCTTTATCTGAGACACACACAAATCTGTGTTTGAATTCTTTAACTCCAGGATATGAATATGCATGATCTGCAGACAGGACTGACACTCAATCGACTGGATTTGGATTCTTTGATTTTGAATGACTTGGATCAGGTAGGCGATTCAGTGTTAAACATAAATAACAATGACACTACTACTAATAACAACAACAATAATAATAATAATATCTCCCTGTTTGATAAGGATTCGTTTACCAGAATGAGAACAATAAACCTACCTTTCTCTATATTATCCAAGACAAAAGAGACACGTTTTAAGATTACACATGGCATACATCCCTATAAAGAATTCTGGAGTGTTTCAATTACAACTGCAGTAAAAACATTGAAACCACAGACCGTCTTCTTGTCACGCAATAGGTTTCAATTGTCTTGGATTTCTGTCTGGCACCTGTAGTTCTATCCCTTACTACTCTTATTTCCAGTGGTGGAATGTACATTTATTTATCAATATTAGTAACTTACTTTGCAGATTTAGATTGTTAATACAAAATATAATAATGGGCATGTTTGAAAAACTGTTTCGTTTTCATGTTAAAAACTAGAGAGAACACACTAGATTTTAAATGCAGAACTTTTACTTGTAACAGAGCATTTTTACACACTTTTATTGCTGCTTTGACTTAGTAAAATATGTTAATACTTCTTCCACCACAGCCATTTTCCAGAAATAATGTCACATTTGATATTATTTTTCAAAATAATAAGGAAGAACTTTGCTTTAAGACAACCAATGATTGAAAGAACATAACATTCCTTGAAATCATGACTAATTTGATTCCAATTATCTTGAATATCAGTTGAAAGAACTCAGGGAACAGTCTGTTGTGCTGGAAGAAGACCTTCGTAGAACGATGAGAGAGATTTCAAAATCTCAGAGAGGCATGTCACGATAGTTGAGGCATGTTCGTAGACTACGCAGACACTTGAACAAACTGCAAGAAGAATTAAGAGCCGCCATCGAAATCCTGGAGGGTAGGTACCGACGCCACATCTTCTCCAGAAGAAACTCCATGCTGGAGAGCCAGGTAAAAACAATTGTATTCTTATTTAATTTTTTTTACAAATTATTGTTTACATAATAATAATATAATTCATATTTTCTGTTCACCATAATATGATTTGTATATATATATCCTTTTTGAGGAGAATTTGAAGAAATACCCCCATATAATAATCTGTGTAATCCTGATATTTGTACAGTGCCTTGCATAAGTATTCACCCCCCTTGGATGTTTCATCCTTTTGTTGCTTTTATACATGAAATCATGGTCAGTATAGTTTGGCTTTTTTGACAAGAATTTGCAAAAAAAAACCTCTTTAATATCAAAGTGAAAACTGATTTTTACAAAATAATGTAAATTAATTTAAAATATATAAGGTAAAGTAAATGATTGCATAAGTATTCACCCCCTTCAGGTCAGTATTTAGTAAATGCACCTTTGACTGCAATCACAGCACTGAGTGTGTGTGTGTGGATATGTCTCACTCAGGCTGGCACATCTGGACACTAAGATTTTTCTCCATTCTTCTTCAAAACAGCTCAAGCTCTGTCAGGTTACTCAGGGATCGGGCGTGAACAGCTCTTCTCAAGTCCAGCCACAAATTCTCGATTGGATTGAGGTCTGGGCTGTGACTTGGCCACTCCAGAACATTCACCTTGTGGTCTTTGAACCATTCAGTGTAGCTTTTGCTGTATGCTTGGGGTCGTTGTCTTGCTGGAGAATAAATCTTCTCTCAAGTCGTAGTTCTCTTGCAGACTGAGTCAGATTATCCTCCAGGATTTGGCGATATTTGTCTGCATTCATGTTCCCCTCTACCTTTACAAGCCTTCCAGGGCCTGCTGCTGAGAAGCATCCCAGAGCATGATGCTACCACCACCATGCTTCACGGTGGAGATGGTGTGTTTGTGGTGATGTGCAGTGGTTGGTGTTCACCAAACATAGCGTCTAGTCTGATGGCCAAAAAGCTCAATTTCTGTCTCATCAGACCAAAGAACCTTCTTCCAATGGACATTGGAGTCTCCCACATGCCTTTGGGCGAATTCTTTCTACAGTGGCTTTCTCTTTGCCACTCTCCCATACAGCTTCGACTGGTGAAGAACCCGGGCAATAGTTGCTGTATGTACAGTCTCTCCCATCTGAGTCACTGAAGCTTTGAACTCCTTCAGAGTGGTCCTAGGTGTCTTGGTGGCATCCCTCATCAGTCCTCTTCTTGCCCGGTCAAACAATTTGTGAGGACGGCCAGCTCGAGGAGATTTAAACAAGTGCCATTCTCCTTCCATTTCTTAATGATGGACTGAACTGAACTCTGTGAAATGTCCAGTGAGTTGGAAATATTTTTGTAGCCATCTCCTAACTTGTACTTCTCAATGATCTTTTCTCTGAGTTGCTTGGAGTGTTATTTTGTCTTCATGTTGCAATTGTAGCAGGAATACTGATGAACCAGAGACTGGACCTCCCAGACACAGGTGTTTTTTATGGGGTCAGATCAGTCTCAATAATCACAAATGCACACAGAAAGACTCACAAATGCACACAGAAAGACTCACAAATGCAAACAGAAAGATTCACAAATGCGCACAGAACAATTCACAAATATATTCGATTTACAAATGCACACAGAAGGATTTACAAATAAATTTGACTCACAAATGCAAGCAGAACGATTCACAAATACATTCCAATGCACACATAAATAAATTACGATTTATATACATGTAAAAAAAATCACAAATATATTTCTGCATTTGGATGTATTTCTGTGTGGATTTTTTCTATTTGTTTGTGGATCGCTACACATTTACAGTATTTGTGGGTTTTTTGAGACTCCCCTGACGTGGCTGGATTCGCAAATTCGTTTTTTTCAACGTTCTAATTATCAACCAATCACATGAGCGCAGCTCCCCCCTCCCCTCCCCACGAGGCTGCTGGCGTTAGAGTTGCGCAATTTGCGGAGGCGACAGGTCAGAAGTCGAGAAAGGGCAAGCTCAAATCGTGGCAAGCTGCCACTGTTTTGGTGTGGATTCCGCGGTAGTTTAGTCTTTATTTGTCGTTATTTGACATTATGTGACAATACATTAAGGTCCTTGAAGGTATGACTGTTGGTTGTTGTAAGAAGTGGCGTAAGGGCTTACGGAGAAATGGCTCCCCTAAGAGTATCCGATGGCGCTCTCTCCTATCCTCACCACTATCTGGTGCAGTCCCCAGGAGACCTCCAGCTCCCCAGATCCCCATAGTTTTTATACTACAATCACTTGACACACATCAACTGCACTCAGGTTATCTCCATTTCACTACTTGTGACACTGCTGGCATGAACTAGCTGGACTTCTGTTGAATTAGGTCAGTCACTTTAAAGGGGGTGAATATTTATGCAAACACATACTTTACACTATATATTTTTAATTAATTGACATTGGTTTGTAAAAATCAGTTTTCACTTTGACATGAAAGAAGCTTTTTTTGCAAATTCTTGACAAAAAAGCCAAATTATACTGACCATGATTTCATGTATAAAAGCAATAAAAGGGGAAAACATCCAAGGAGGGGTGAATACTTATGCAAGGCACTGTATATGGATATTATGTGCCCGATTGCAAAGTGTACTATATTGATAGACCACCTAGGCTTAATTATCTATTAAATGTTTGTAAGAGCAATGGGGAAAGATAGAGAAACTGTTTGAGAAATGAAATGTCGAATCTCAGCCATCACAGTCAACTGAGGGCTACTTTAAGATTAATGCTGTTCTGAACTCTTCCCAATACTGTTTAATGAAGACTCTTATTTGAATAAGAGTCTTCATTAAATTGATGTCAATCACTGTTCAGTGTTCATTCTTTAAGTTTGCACTTTAAAGTTAAAGGAGATTTGATTTAGAACTATCAAATGTAACAATGTTACAAAAAATGTAATTGTGCAGGTTTTTGCTGTATTAAAGCCACACTTGTATTAGACCAGTTATGGACAGTTCTACGAGCCTCCTAATCATCCTCCTTTTATTGATGACATTGCCTCTCTTCTGCTTAGGTGAGAGAAAGATGTCCATTGCGTTCCCAGTCTTGTCCCAGCATCCCATCAGAAGGCCTACTCGACGACTCTGTATTTCCTTTTCTCACTAAGTGGAGGAGCTTGAATAGAAGCATAGCATTTAAGGACTCTAATAAAGACAGACTCAAAAAGATTGACAACAATATTGCATCCCTTGAAATATCCCGCATTAGAATCATGAACAAAGTGGAGCGGACCTGGCACATTGATTTCCACCAGCCTCAGCAGCTAACACCTGGCCCTGGCCACCGAGATCAAGACAACACCACTTTACCGTCATCCCAGGCTGCAGGACAGGACCTTAGATCTGAGCTTCAGCCCAGTACATCTGATTCATCTAGGGCCGGAGAAACAGCACGTAATGCTACCAGTCACCCCTCAGATCAGAGTGTACGACACCAGGTGAGTTTGCTTTCATAATATTTCTACTGTGTGTGATAGTTTACATTACTGTACCATGAGATAAGAAAGAAGTGTTTTCAGGCTTCAGATGTCAGAGTGAAACTGCAGAGTACCAAACTAAAATAATTTAAGAGGGGTCACAAAAGATACATAAACGGTGGCAGGATTACTTTTGGTTTGAAATTATTTTACCCGCTGTTGAGTCTTTTTAAACTGAAATGAAGAATATCGTGAAACAGAACTTGTCTTTTAAATTATTTATTTTTGCAAGAAGAGGCACAGTTATACAGAGTCACAAAGAATCTGCAGAAGTGCCCACTGCAGTGTTCACTAACAAGGACCACGGCAATAACAATATGAGTTTCGAGAGGTTTATTATTTACTGTATGTTAACACAAATATTCCCCCTTTTGCCAAGTTATCTCTGCTGTGAGCTAATTTAGTGTAACAATGGAAGAGATCACGTGGCAATTGTCTGGGCCCATCCATCCATAATTTGTGTAAGCTGCACCAGATGAGGCCAAACACTTTCACTCTGCAGGGGTAGCCAATGTCTGCAATAATTGGGATATTTCTGTTGTTGTGAGCTGAAAAGAGTAACCTGAACAAAAACACTTGCTTAGTTGAAATAGGGTCAGAAGCGTGAGTGTGAGCATACATTTCATACCACAGACAGTTTTAGCGAGCAGTATGGCTTCTAGAAAGTCAGCCACAAGACGATGGTGAGAAATGGGCTTGCCAGATGATTTCAGAAAGCACGTGTTTCCACAGAAAAGAAGTTTGCACTACATCAAAGCTGTAGCAAGAGTCTGTGTAAATTTGAACTGTTTTGTTAGCAGAAAGCTTAGAGCCACAAGTTCTGCAGCTTGAACAGAGAAGTGTGATGGCAACTTATCGCTGCACAGAATGTCATATGATGAGACTACAGCAAAACCCAACCAACCCTTTTCCCGTGTCCAGCGAGCGGGATGCCAAACCGTCCACAAACAGTTCTAAATCAGCATTTGGCAGAGGGTGTCTGTGAGGTCAGGTCTCGGTGTACAGACCTGTTCAGGAGAAACAACACAGTTATGCAGCTCTCCATCTGCTGGAGTACGAAATAGAGTATCAGGATTAAGGGTAGTACATCGTTTCACAGTAATTTTAGGCAAATCTAATGGATTAATCTAATTTAATGCGTAAAACAGCACAAGGAACCATGTCACAATGTCACAGCACGACTGGTAAGACAGGTGAAAAGAAAAGCACTCCATATCTCTTAAGAAGACTTCTTCCTCTTTTAACATTGATGGGCCCAAATTGGTCAACTCCAACATTTGTAAGCGGAGCTTTATCAGGCAACACTCTCTCCTCCTGCAAGTCTGCCATCTTCTGTTCACCAAGCTTTCCTCTGTTGTGTCTACAAACAACACAGTCAGATATGACTTTCCTGGCAGCAGAGTTTGCATTTATGATCCAGTACTTTTGCCGTGACCTTGACAGCATGTGATTTCTTCCTGAATGTCCCAGCTGATGATGGATATGGCGCAAAATCAGCGTGGATACATGCAGGTCTTTGGAGAAAATGACTGGATGTTTGGATTTTTTTCAAAAAATCATGCGATTAATCGCGATTAAAAATTTGAAACGTTGCCCAGCACTAATAAATATACAGTAGAGTAATGTCTACCTGAGGAGAGAATACAGTCACTCTTCCTCCGTGTGTGTTGTTATCTGAGCTTCTCCTGTTTTGTTAACAAGCTGGGCCGGCTGCGCATGCTTTTAGTGTATGTGAGTGTGCCCTTCTGGTTAGATCATGGCCGCCAGTCTGCACTGCTTTCATACAGCTACAGCTGATAATACCGTCCGGACCGACAGCGTTGTAGCAGAAGTGTATCACCAACCCTCTGGTATCCCCTTAGGTAAACACTGTTAACTCTGTCAGTACTTCGCCTTAGTTTGTACTGTTAGCACTGTTAACGTCGAGCCGGTGGCTCGAAGCTAACATGTTGAGAGCGGCTGAGAGGCAATCAAATTGCTCCAATACACATTTAAGGAAAATTATCATACAAACAAAACAAAAATTTGAGTGTTACTCACCAAAACACATTGTTTGTGTCCTCCAGGTCTAAAATCTGTGTTAAATATTTTCTGCAAGAAATATTCTTCTTGCAGTCTTCAGAGGAAGACTGCAAGCTATCTAGCTTGCAGTCTTCCTCTTGGCTGCCTTTGATGTATATTACTATGCTTAATGTAGATCAGTGTGATATTGTGAAATCATGGGACAGAACAAATATTACATGCTCGCATGCCCCAGCCATGTGTGCTGCTCCATTCACTGCTTGGTGACATAAAAAAAGTGCTGCAAATACAATACATAAAACCAAATAGAGAAACATTGCAAGTCATACACAACATTTCTGTATTTGCTCGTGTGTTCTATATTTGTCGCTCATTTCTTTATGCCGTGTATGTATTGTCAAATTTGCAAATGTGTTTCCTAATTTGTGTTTTATTTATTTGCAGAATTTTTTGCAATTGCTGCCATATTTGTTGTCAAATTGGTTACAATGCTTTCTTCTTTTGCTTGTTTTCTTAAGCTGCATTGTATTGAACTCTCATTAACAATAAAATGCAGAAAGAGATACATAAGCTATCTAAGCATTGAACATCAATTTATGATGTTACAATGCACAGAGTCAAAAAACACACTATGTCAAAATTAAATAAAACAATATAAAAACAAGTGTTATTGCAAGAATAAGGCTGATTCTTTCTTCAATTTCTTTTTTAAAAGATTTACATGGGAATCGGCCATTCTGGAACCTCTGCACAACAGGACAATGAATCCCACAGTACCAGAGTGAGGGAGGAAATGCGTAAGAAGGCGCCTACCACAGCAGTGAAGACTGTCTCAGCCGAATCCAGTGGCAGCCCATCTGTCTCTCTGGCCAGCATCAGCACAGCTATATTTAAGACAATGGCTGCCGGCTGTGCTGCAATTTTTATTTTCCTTTAATTTTAATGATTTTGAACAGAATAATCTCACCAATTTGATAAAACACAAATCAGAATAAAGCTACGATAAATTCTCCTTTTAACAGCCGGTTTGCAAATAACGGCAAAACAAATTAAGTACGGTTGCTAATAAAGGTTGGGGGGAAAAACTTGCTGGGGGTGTAGGAAATACCTTTAGCCTACTATGACAGTTTATACAGTAAATTAAGTATGATGTACCTTTCCGCAGTATTAATTCCATCAATAGAACAGTGTCATGTTATAACGTAACGTTACCAGACACGAAGCGGGCTCTGCACAGACTCTTTAGGACCACCTGGACCCCAATCTGATCTTTTAATGGCCTCGACCCAAAGCCTGATCCCTTCAGAATATTGAACATTTTCCATCTATCTTTTTTACTGGTGCAGTTTACTGCACAACAACTCAGTGTCATCTCAGCTTTGGAGTGCTGCTTTCAGCCTAGCTGCGCTTGTCTCTGTCACAACGTTGGACAGAAACCCATCGACGGGATAAATTAACTATGGACGCACAAAACATAATTCCTATAGATTATTAGTTCAGCAAGGAAAATCATGTGATGTCTGTGAGTGAGTGAGCACCTCTGCGTCTGTCCACGGATAATCTTGTTTTCTGTTGCAGCAAACTGCATAGTATTCGGGGTGCTCAGGTCCTTGAGTCTGCATGCTCAAGGACCTCTTGTGGTTGCAGAGATTCAAACTTTCTCTGAACCCCTGTTATTGGCTGTTTTATACTGCCACTGACTGCTGGCTGACTCCTCACTCACCAATCCTAACCAGCTCCCTGCCAGTAGGGGATGCAAGTGATAAGACAGCTGAGTGCATCGTCTACCCCCAGCGGCTACGCTGCGCCCAGAGACACAGAGGGGGGAAAAACACTTTGCACACTTTTATTTTTTTGGACGCTGTGTTTGGCTATCAGCTAACGGAATTACCAATCCATGTTGAGAACATCGCTGCCACTCATTTTTTTTAACCTTCAACTAGCCTCATTTTTTCCTCTTCAGTTGTTGGATTCTGTATTTAGTACCAGCCAGATTAAAGCTGAACAAATATATAAAAAATGTAAAGCCTTATATTCAGTCAAATTCTAGCACTTTGTCATCCATTAAGGAAATTAAAGTCCAGGTAACGATAAATTAATGGTTTAACGTTACACTGAATACAACTTTACAATCTGCGCTTGTCAGTGGCAAAAATAAGTACTTTTAAAACGTAAATTGAGGGTGAGGAGTTGTCGCCATTAGTCACTTTGACACAAAAACATGGGAAAATAAGGTTTAATGATACCAGTTTACCCGTTAAGTGCACTGATGCTGATATTCTGATGAAAGAATGACAATCATGTATATAGCTTGCTTTACATTTGTGCATACATTTATGAAAGTGAATAGAATGTTATTGATTCAAAATGATGTTTGCTGTAGGCCTACAAAAAAATTAAATTAAATATTTTGAATATTCTGGGCAAGTCGGAAAAAGGACAACAAGGTCAATATGTTTTTGTAAGGATTGCCAAATATTACACAAAATATTGAGAAACATAAGACCAATCTCAGGTGCATTTGCTGTTAATGGTTCACTGACATTAACATATCTGGAGCCAGTGTGTAAAGTGTGTGTAAAATGTATACCACAGTAGTCAAAACATGATCAAAGAGCAATACTTATTGGATTCAGGCAAGGTGGCAAAGAAATAAATCTCTATTTTGAGGAGAGGAAAGAATACAGTGCAGGAACTAGCACAAATGTGATCTAGAGTAGCAAGACAAATTTTAAACTGCCAGGAAATGACTAGGAAAGTAACAAATTGACTATTAAAGCAAATCTTTATTTTTCCATGACTTGCCTAAGTGCATTCACTTAATTGCTTTGTTTTTTACATTCACACATTCAATGATTTATTTTAATCATTTAACTCATCAGTGTAACTAAACAGTTAAACATCTTTTTTTACCAATACGAATGTGATTTTTTTGTGATTTCTTTGTTTTTTTAGATGTAATCATGTAATCAGTCATTTGATCTTTTATATTCTGTGTGCATTTCTTTGTGACTATTCAAATTTTGACTTGATATCCTGTATTTACTGCTTTTAACTTTTTCATTGGTTAAATAAAATTCATATGAAACACAGTCTATTGCTATGTTTTCCCAATGCAAGTGGGTTGGAAGTCACACTGTAATGAGCTAGAAAAAACAAATGGTTCTGTAAAGTCGCTTAAATTAGCATCAGGGTTTTGGGATGGACAGGAGACAGGTGTAATATAAAGATGTTTAAATAAAAACAAAGATTTCAGAGTATTCAGGGATAAAAGGAGGTGGCTTGTCTCTACAACACTATACTACTAATATGCGGCTTCTAACAAAATGAGTAGAGATTCAAATGAGCAAAAGTGACTTAGGGAAATAAGTGAACAGTGAAAGATGAAATGCATTTAAAACTGACAGGGACCCCATGGTTTTCAAGAACCATGACCCTGTTTGAGGGGACACTAATGACATCATCAAGAATCACACAAATTATTCTTTATTCAAAACACTTACACACAATTAAATGTCAGAGATGTCATATGAAAACTGCAGGAGTGTTAGTTTGGTCTCCTCTCAGCCCAGGATCACATTTATCAAGGTGCTTTAACACTAAACAGAAAACTGTAGTGCATTACAGAGCTTTTCTTTTAGTACAGCCAAAATATCATTATATTATCTGATTTTTGATTATGTAAAATATTCTTCTTGTCAATAGGTTCAAGTCAAGTAAGTAATATTATTTCTTCATAAGCAAACACCGCAAACAATTTTTGTTTTTATAAATAGAAAGGACCCCCACAAACCTTTCACGTCCTTTACAATCCAAAAAATATCAACATTCATCTTCAAAATCTTCAGTTTGAATTGAAACATTTAAACATATTTCATCTTGGCAGCCTAATTAGGTTAAATATTGTTTGTTGTGCTCATGTTTGCCGTCTGTAGAAATGTTAAAAGGTCTGAAAAATACAGGAACCAACCAGCTTTGTACTGTTAATCAAACTAAAGAGGACATGCGGGACACATGCAAGTAAAGTAGGCAAGATAGTGAACGTTTTCTTTGAGTGATCTTAATAAGTACAAGTTAGGCTTTGCCGGTGATCCGTTCATCAAGTCCCCGAACAGCCGACGCGGGACTTCAATCACTCTGTGTTGTTGTTTTCTTTTCTGCCGCCGCTCAACATATACACGAAACCCAGAACCACCGCTGCAACCCCACCGGCCACCAGGAGAGTTTCTCCGGCCTTACGCACCTGCAGAGGGAAACAGACACCTTTTAGTTATTCACAACTCTGGGAAATGCATCACTCGCATACTAGGACATTTTTCAGTACCACTGAAATTCCATTTTCTATTATAATATAATGGACAGCACCAATGTAGATTATGCTGTGAGGATTTATTTCAGGTCTCTATAGTAACTGACATAACTTTTACCTTGCCTGCTTCCAAAAAAGTTATGAATTGCTTATTCATATAAATCAATTTATGTCTTTATAGCCCATGTACAAACATTTGATTCCTTTAATGCATTTATGTTTTTTGTCCAACACAATGTTCACCACCCCACACGGGTCCACTGACCTGACGGGACTCCGCCTTTCCGTAGCGCAGCTCGTTTGCAAAGTGCTCACAGTTACCCCTGAAGACGCAGTAGGGCAGCTCATCGCCCACCATCGCACAGGCCTGTCTCACAATGACGTGAGCCAGGCGGGGCTGGTACTGCTTGTCCAGGCTGTTGTTGATTTTCCAGTGGTTTCTTCCCACCACGTCCCACAGCTCCTCTTTCTTCACAATGGCCTTCTCAGCTATTACAGACATCATACTGTTGGCGCCCGCCCCCAGGACCTCAGCTATTTATGGAAAAGAGTGACAGAAAAAGGGGAGACGCAGACATTACTTATGTGGGGTGATGCACTAAACATGGTTTGTGTTTTTTAAGTTTTGAGCTTAAACTCACAGGGTGGTGCCAAGTGGACAATGAAGCCATCGCCAACATACACAGCCCAGTGCTGATAGGAGCCCCGGAAGATCTCAATCAAGTCCCCGACCTCTGGTTTCTCATCATACTTGGATTACAACAAAAAAATGTTTGACTTTGCAACAGACTGTTTGGTAACAGCTGCACTACATTTGACCTGACTGGACTCTCTGTGGGTTAAACGAAGATAAGATGAGACTGGTATTGAGCTAAATAAAACATTTTTTGACTTGACTTGAAAACGTTTAAATTCAATAAATTCAATGAAATGCTACATACAGTAGTACACACATGCTATACAAGTGGCATAATGACATGTAATTGCTATAATAGAACACAAAAACAGCAAAACAAAAAAACTCTATAGTCCCAATTTTCTATAATCTGATTAAGAGATCATTTCCTAACCAGTGTCGGGGCCATGTCAGTGTTTCTTTTGTCTGGTTTGGTCCGGCTTGACTTTCAGCACCTGCAGGAGCAAATCACAGACCACATATTAGCACACAACATAAGATATGGAGAAGAGTAAAAGATACAGAAAGGTTTAAAAAAGAAAAGTAGTTCACTATCCCTTTGATACTTTTGATACAGTTTTACTTGTTTGCTCGTGATTCATGTTAGCTCAAAGGTGTAACACAGCATTTTATGAATATAATTACATGTAATGCTGTACTTATATTATTATAATATAATGTTAATGTGCCATTTAGTATTGTGTGATCGCTCATTGTAACTATAATAACAATCAGGCCTACTGTCCTCACATGTGGATTATCAAGTACCCAGATGATGTGTGACATGTCATAACAGCTCATCTGTAAATACTAAATCTATATACACTCAGTTGCCAGTTTATTAGGTACACCTAAACCAATGCAGTCTCATACAAAAGTCCTGTAATATATCCCACCTTCATGAACGTTATAATAGTATAGTATAATTTTAGAGAGGTGCTTATTCAACTTTCACTTTTCATTTTGGAGGCTGTAGTTTGTGGTGCTGTTGACAGTTTCTGTTATTTAGTTTACCCTCATTGATATAAATGCGGTGGACAAAATAATAGATACAACTGTAAAACGCCATTCAAGTCAACAGCACCACAAACTACAGCCTCCAGAATAATCAGAAAGTATATTATGTTATGATAACCTTAACTTAGATATTTTATGTGCGTGCGCTTAAATGAAGATATTCTTGATCATTTAAACAACATCCTGCTATAATGTAAACAATGTGTGTCATTCGGTTCAGATTTTAACTTTCAGCAATCTGTTTCAACAAGCGACGAAACATGAAGGTAACCGAAAGCTAGTGGTTAGCACGTCTGTGTTAACGTCACCCAAAGGCCTTTAAAAGCCGCTGGTTTGAAGCCATAACGTCACATTATCAGTTACAAGACACTGTAGCATCACCAAAACACCGCCATTCTCTGACATTATACGGTTCACTTTGTTTAAATGTGTCAACGGTCCATCCACCTACCGTTGAAGATGATGTCCACCGCAAAGAAACGACGCCAAAACTCAGATTTGCGCGACCAGCTGATTGTTGTTGTGTTTATCCGGAGCACGTGACCTTCAGAATAAAAGCCTCACCCCAAACGTCAGAAATTACGCCGATGCTTCAGTAACAACACGTTAGTAACTAAATAATTGTAATAATAATAAAGGTAATAGTAGTTGTTTAAATAATAATAATAATTAGTTAGTAGTGATAGCTTGTGTTTAAACTGTTTAAGAACGGTGTTAATTGTATGGCATTCCGCTGACAGGTGTGTTCATTATTTTGTCCACCCTATTTATATCTTTGAAGGGTAAATAGCAGACATACCTGTATGATGGAATGCAATTCAACATGTATGGTCCAAAATGACCATACATTTGAATCAACGCCCCTTTATATGCTTCAACGTTTTCATGAAATGGAAACTGTAAATGTGAGAGCAAGCACATATATAAATATAATACGAGGAAGTGCAATTTAAAAGCTATATATTGCAATTCAAGTTTTGGGATTTTTTACAGTTTACAGAGGACACCGAATTATAAATAGTCAAATTATAATATATCTGTATTTATCTATTATTTATTATCTTATTATTATAATAATAAACCTGTTTCTGATATCTAATTATTTTAAACCTTTGGGGGATCGATCAAGTTCTTCTTATTTCAGCTCGTATCCTAGTTTAGTAGTTGACACGGTGAGGAGACAGACAACATTGACACCAGCTAAATAAAAAAAACGATTCCACTCAGTACCACCAGGTGTCGCCCGTGACGTAAGCTGTCAGTGTCGGCTTTTCCTTTTTCTACCAACGAAGAAGTTGCAACATCCGGCCTGTGGCGCCCTTTCGGTGTATTTCTGTCCTGAAATTGGACAGAGAAATCAACACAAAAGCTGTCACAATTGCTCCCGTCGAAGCCCTACAGCCCCGGGGAGGATTATTTTATGTAAATATTAAATGTTAAAAGACCAAACGATGTCCGTGGTGGTGGACGGGAGTCCGCTGAAGGCGATGCAGAGCTCACACAGTCACACAGCGCAGAGCGCCCTGAGGTGAGTGGGAACGATCACTGTGACAGAGGAAGCGGCAGGTCTGACAGAACAAGTACATAAACTCTAAAGTCACTCTCAAGTAAACTGTGCAAAGATTAGTGGGTTAGACCTTTATATGTCCCTATAGTATTCTTTCGAGACTATTTATTTTGTAAATTACAGAATTAAGAAAAGACGTCAGGGCTAACGTTACATGGAGCACTTATCAGATTAGATTATTCATGTGCTCTATTAAAGGTTTAAAAGAAAAGAGACACACGTGACAAGTTGTTAGACCCCAAAATGTTGTTTTGTTGTTGTTTGTCCTTTAAAAATGATATCAGTTGGAGCAAAGCTAGTATTTGTAGAGCAAATGTTTTGTGTTTTTATTTTATACAAGATTTGATTGGAATATATTTTACATCTGCAATGTAAATAAGGACTATTTCCATTAACAATAACAGTTTTTATAGAGTGGTAAGTCTAATTGTATACAAAGATTTATCAATGAGTTGATAAACAGAAAATTAATCAACTTTTTTTGAAGATTTATGAATTGTTTTTAAAAAGTCCGAAATTGTCAACATCAAGTTGCAGCTTATTAATTATGGGATTTTCTGTGTTTCTTTGTCTTATGTAATAGTAAAGTAAACACGTCAACATCTTAAAACACATTTGCTTGCAATAAGTGATTAATCGATACATTGAGAACAATTATTTTTAGTTGCTTCCCTTTTCTGTTGATAATTCTTTTCCATTAATTGGTCGTTTAGTGTTTCAGATATCAGAAAATAGTGGAAACAATCGATTAATAGACTATCATTTTAGAACGATATATTTTAGGCTTAATCGATAATGAATATGATTAATTGCAACCCTGAAAGATATCTTTTTCCGTCTGGTTAGTAGTGATGTATGAATAGATCTTTATGTGAAGTCTGAATGAACCTTCCCTACTCTCACACACATTCCTCATCATGTCATCATGTTCACTCTTCTCCTCCAGCACCCAGGAACTCTCTCAGGAGATCAAGTCCTTCATCAGTGGCGTCGACACCGTTCAGGGCCGGAAGCTCAGTGTCCGGGAACACGCCCGCTGTGCTGTGCGCCTGTTGCGCTCGGTCCCGGCCTGTCGAGGAGCGGTGCTGGAGCACCTGAGGGGCGTGTATGATGAGCATGTCTCCGCCTTCCTGCACAACCTGGAGACGGAGAGCGATGCCAGCTCCGGGGTCAGCTCCAACCTGGAGGACATCATACAGGTGTGATGACAGAGTCTATAAAGATTAGAGCATTACATTGGTTTCATGGGCCCACAAGAGGAACAGATCCAGACCCTGTCCAATCTCCCTAGCCTAGATGTTTTCCTGCATTCATAGAAAATACAATATATTTTCTGTTATTTCTGTTTGTCTGTAGGAGGTCCATGGTGTCCTGTCAGAGTTCATCTGTCTCAACCCCCGAGCCTGGGCCCCTCTGGTGTCCACCTGGGCTGTGGACTTGTTGGGCCAGCTGAGCAGCAAGCACGCCGGCCGCAGGGTGGCCCCCCACTCGTCCAGTCTCAACGAGCTGCTCCAGCTCTGGATGTCCTGCGCTGCCACCCGGTCCCTCATGGAGGCCTACTCCCAGTGTTTGGCCGCCATGCTGGCTTGGTGCCCTGATGCGTGTGTGGATGCGCTGTTGGACACCTCAGTTCAGCACTCCCCGCATTTTGATTGGGTGGTGGCTCACATCGGCTCCGCCTTCCCGGGTACGATCATCAGCCGAGTCTTGGCGTGTGGACTCAAGGACTTCTGCTCTCATGGCGCTAAGGATCAAGGGCTGATGGTGATGGTCGGGGACAAAGGCAGCAGAGTGCCAAAGATTGGCTCGGTGGTGGGCATCCTTGGACACCTTGCAGTGCACCACTCGGACAGCATCAGGAAGGAGCTGCTCAGGATGTTTCAGGAAAGCCTGATTCCGTCAAGTCCACTATCTCCCACTTCATCCTCAACGTCCTGGGAGAGTTCTCCTCAACTCCGTCGCGCTGCAGTACCATTTCTGCTGCAGCTGTCTGCGATGTCCCCCAACCTCTTTGGTGCAGTGTCTGCAGAGCTGGTAGAGCTGCTACGCCCTCCTGTTCTGCTCCAGCTGCAGGTCTTGCTGCACGGCCTCCCCAGAGAGGAACTGGATAACATGCTGGGGCTGGCTGTCCACCTTATAAGCCAGAGCCCATCAGGAGGGTCCCGGGTCCTCCGTTTTCTGGCAGACACGGCGACCCCGGCCTCGGTCATCATCTCCGGGCCTACACCCTCCCCGCATGAAGGTGTCAGAGAAGGCTGCGATCGGCTCCTCCAGATGCTGCTTCTGCATCTCCACAAACTGGTCTTCAACCGCTCAGATGGAGCCGAAGTCAACCCCCATCACCCTGCTTCCTCTCAACCCAAGCGGGTCATCCCCTTCTTGGAGGAGCTGCAGTCTCACGTAAGTGAGCTCTGCGCAGAGACGCTGCGACTGGAAAGGAAGCGTCACCTCTGGCTGCACCAGTTGCTGTGTCTGCTGTCGGTGTATGGGGGTCCCAGCGTGGCCACTGAGGCTTTCTGCCAGCTACTCACCCAGGCCCACAACCCAGAGGAGCTGGCTCTGGCCTGGCAGCTGCACACCACACTCTCCTCTTGCATGGCGGGACTCATTCCTGCCGCTATAACTCGGTGTGTAGCCCAAATCCATACACACACTCTGGGGCCCCGGCAGCTGAGGCAGCTGTTGCTTAACCTGGCTGCAGCCATCCAGAGTCAGGATGAGGAGAGAAGAGGAGCAGCGGGTGTTCAGTCCTCCATGGCCATCCAGGTGGGCTCAGCGGTCTCGGGACACCTCCACGATTTTGGCCCTCTCCTTCTCCACGGTGACTCAGCTGTATCTCACGCTACGGTGCGCCTCCTGTCCTGTAGCCCACTCCCACGCGCCTCCTCCCCAGCACACCTGCTCCTGCTCTCACGCGCTGCCGTCACTCATTTCTTTATGGCGCTGCGGAGAAGAGTGGAAGGAGGGAAGGTGGGGAGAGATGGGGGACAGGCAGGCGAGGCGGTGAATTGTTCGGTCCTGCTCCTGTCCCGTTTGGCAGCGTATTCTCCACTCACTCTCAAAGCGGTACTTCAGCAGCTGGTCGAGGGCGCCCTACATAGAGGCAACGCTGGGTTGTTTGGAGGGCAGATCGCAGACATGTCTGGCGCCCCTTTGCCTGCCCCATCTCTGTCTCCTGACATCGGAGCCTCTTTGCTGGACATCAACTGTCGGTTCGGTACCATCGTCAACTTCTCCGGCAGCGTGTGGTCTGTGTTTCATGCCGGGGTGATTGGCAAGGGGCTGAAGGTCCGCACTGACACACAGCTGCCTGACCCATCAGGCGTCATGCAGGTGGGTTGCACAATTTGTGAACGATAGTTTAGCACGGCAGGCAAAATGTGAATGACATAAGATAACAGTGGAGCAGTCGATGCTGTATACAAATTAGGGAACTGTTTTTCCTCTATGAATTAGGTCTGGAATGCACATTTCAGCTGTCTTTTCTTTCACTTTGAAGTTGAAACTACATGTTCACGTAAACATTTGACAGGACATTTTTTTTTTTTTTTTTTTAAATGTATTTGGTGGAGGTAGGTCTATGTGGGTGGCCCACCCAAGTAAATTCTGAATATTACACACACTGCAAATATATAGACTTGTATCCTGCATGTGACTATTACCTCAACTATACCTGTAAATGATTAAAGACACTATGATTAGGTGCATTTTCTGCTGCAGCAGAAAAGACTTTAAATGTCTGTTTCTTCCTTCTGTAGAATGTCCAGACTCTGCTGACTGTCGTAGTCCAGTCTTGCAGCTCTTCTGGTCTCAACGGCTCTATCAACAGCTCACGACCACCGTCTGACCCAGACGAGCCGCTGCCCATCAATGCCGAGGCAGCCAAGGTCATTGCAGTTACAATGGTGGAAAACGTCTGTCCAGATGTGGCCAACGGTGAGCTGTCCTGGCCCCCAGAGGAGCACGCCCACACCACGGTGGAGCGAGACATCCACATCCGACGCTGCTTTGAGGCCCACCCGGTGCTCTTCCCTCTGCTCCAGGTGGTGGCAGCCGGACGCCCGGCTCTCTGCTACTGCTCAGCGGTGCTCAGAGGCCTCCTGGCCACTCTGCTGGCCCACTGGGAGGCGGCCCGCGAGACGTTGTCCACAGACTACCCGTGGCACCTCCAGGCCTCCTGCCTCCTGGTGTCCTGCATGGGAGAGGGTCAGCTCCTGCCTCCTGTCCTGGCCAACGTCCACGAAGCCTTCCCCCACCTCACCCCCTTCGAGGTGAGGCTGCTGCTCCTGGCTGTGTGGGAGTACGTGCGAGGCAATGGGCCCATGCCCCAGAAGTTTGTCTTTAGCTCAGAGAAGGGGCTGTTCTGCAGGGACTTCTCTCGGGACGGTGACGTGGCAAGATACGTGGCACCGATTCACAGTGTCCTGCATAAAAACATTGACAGATTGGGACATCTGTGCTGGCGGTTCCAGCTCTAAAGGGTTGTGGAGAGAAGACTGTGTGGAGGAGGTAACAAGAAATAAATAGACTGAATGCTGTGTTGCATCGCTCCAAGAGTGAGCCGCAAAGTTGCTTTCACTGTACTTCAGTTTCATACAAGTTTAGGTGTGTGTGTGTTTGTGTCTGTATGCGTGTGAGCGTGTGCGTGTACCTTTTTGTACCATATTTTTAGACTTGATGCGTTTCTAACTAGTTGTTCCTGGGACAAGACAAATGGCAGACGTGTATATTATGTTGATAGAGAATTTGCTCCACACAAAACACAGCCGTAAAGTGTGACTTTGGTTGGAAAATACAATTTAACTCAGCTAATTTACTTTTAAGTTGTTTTGTATAATTTTCAGGTTGTATATGTTCTAAAATTGTGGCGACAGACATGCCTTCTATCTGTTGTTATATGTCCCAAAACTGTTGTTTAAACCACTTTACAAAATAAATAATTTGGTCCAAGAATGTGTCTTGAATTGAGCATCATTGTTAATGCTGAAGAGTTTTTATCACAGGACTCTCCTGGTGATTAAAGATCACCACACAGTTGTATCATCATGTTCTTTCCATCGTGTAAATCCTCTAAGCCAGTTGTTTCCAACCTTTTTTTCTTTGTGACCGCTTTAATAAAATCAAAGTGCAAGATAGTATTTTTTTCTTCTTAGACTATTTAATTTCAATAGTTTTTGGAGTTAAAGATATACTATATTTCACAAGAAAATAAACATTAGAAAACTCTTTTTTTCTTTAAAAAAAATGGAAACACCTACACTACAATGTAATCCATTAGCCCTGCCCTTGTTATTACTTAATAAAGACAAAATAACTCAAGTATTTTTCAACACGACAAACTGCAGCCTTGCAAATTACCATAGAGTTGATTCAACGATGTCTACTTGTAACTGTATACCCAAAGTAGTAGAGTATATTTTGGTAAACTAAAGGATGAAATCATAAAAGTAAAGTACATTTTGTATAATAAAATGAATAATGGTGTCATCATTATATGTACCTTGGGGGGGGGTCAAAAGTTTGGGAATCACTGCTTTATGTATTTAATATAAATCACAACCATATAAAGATACACAAAGTGAGGAGTGATTTCAGGACCGTTGAGGTGGATTGCATTAGCCTGTACACGTGTTTCCTCCACTGATACGTTGCATTGGTTGGTTTCATCCTGGATAAATGTGCACTTCGTTGACTGGAGCTCAGGAATGACGTGTCCGCTCCTGAGAAGGTGACGTAGTTAAGCCACGGCCCCTATCTTATCTTGAACCACTGACCCAATTTACATTTTATCATCAACCAGATAAAAAAAAAATACAACCTTGATTAAGTACAATCAAAACTCGATAGGATATTTGTTATAATCGAATTCACTTTATGTATATTAGTTTAGCGAAAACAAAGTAAATATCTCAGTTACTTTTTGACGATCTTTGTTGCGGACTCAAATGGGTGGAGTCTAACGGAAGCATAATCAAGATGGCCACCTTCGTTGAAAGGTAAGACAAAGCAGGACCGCCGTTACATCGTGAATTTATCATTTGTTTAATATATTATCAGCGCGCCGGAGGCCAGAGATTATCGCTGTGGGTACACACTTAGTAGACGTGTGAGCAAACGTTTGTGTCAAAGTTTAACGGCCGCCAGGGGAAATTGTAACCGTTACTGGAAAAGTCTCGATCCTTCCAATTGAATTAACGCTAAAGCTAGCGGGTTGACAGTCCGCCTGTGCCGCTCTTAGCAAGGTTAGCACGATATCCAGATCCTAATTAACGACAAAGCCGCTGTCAGACAACCAGGCGTTAGTCCGTCTGTAAAAAACTGATGCAATATTGTGGTGAAATTATTAATTTGGTGTCTTTTTCCAGAAATCCGATTGCATGCTAGCTACGTTTAGCCCACATTAGCTGATACGTTAGCTAACACTTGTCTTCTGGCATCATTTCAAGCACAGCACATAAGTCTTTCGGCCGGAAATACGTTTCTACATCAAGGCCCTGGGGTCTAACGCGAAAAACTGGATTTTGGATACTGTTTAAAATGCTAATATGTGCATAAATGTATAGCTGCAGCATGACGAGGAAACGGGAAATGGGTTAGTTCGCTGCCTGTGACAGTTTCAGTTGAGGACACATTTGACCAGCACAGAGAGATCAAAGTCCGTTTGTGTGTGTCTGTAGAACCGTAACCCCTGTATACATACAGATGTTCGGGTAGGGTCCTCTTAGGTGTTTACTTGGGCAATGTTCAACCAAATGAATTGGAGAGTAGACCATCTAAACTTCAGGTCGTCCCTTTGGTTTTCTCTGCAGGATGGCGCCTGTCTTGGTGCTCTGGCTGGCTATGTCCCTCAGCGGGACATGGGCTGTGGACAAGGGCAACTTCAAGACCTGCGACCAGAGTGCCTTCTGCAAGTGAGTGCAAAAATAATCCATTTACTAACCTGAAGTTGGGGTTTCAGGAAAAGCACACAGTTACTGATTCATCACCGGTGGTCACTCTTGTTATGACTTTTTTTTTTTTTTTAAAGGCGTCAGCGAGCGTTGAAGCCTGGTGAGTCTCCCTATCGAGCCCTGTTGGAGACCATGGAGCTGACCAACACCAGGCTCACGCTGCAGCTCATCAATGACAACAACAAGGTAAATCACACAGAAGCAATTCACATTGGGGACATGATGGCTGCCATAAAGATAAGGCACTAAGGGCTCCACGTCAAGTCTTGTTTGAGCCTTGATTTGAATTTTAAACTGTTTACTAAAATGATGAATATAGCCATATGTGAAGCACTTTCCAGGATCGTAAAATGTTCATATTATTGTGAAAACATAATTTAGCAGTTTCCCATATTAAAACTAAATGCCTAATATGGCAAACTGAGTGGAATGAGATAATAATGAAAGTCCTCTTTTGCTTCTGCATTTGTCTCTCAGGTGCATCTGCTGCTTGAGCTTTACCGTCTCCAGGGAAACATAACGAGGGTGAAGATTAACGAGCTGAAGCCGCTGAGGCCTCGCTACGAGGTCCCAGACGTGCTCATCAGGGAGCCGCTTACTGAGCCGTAAGTCTCCCAGGGGTGTTCCTGACTGTGTGGGGTGGCTGGAGGTTTGGATATGACGGAATCAAGCTGAAAAAGCTAAAAAAAAATCTGCGTGCTGTCTTGCTATTTTCAGTTTTATTAATTTAGCCCCAAATCACAAATTTGTCTTGCGCGTTCTATTTGGATCAAAAACAGGCAAAAAAAATATATTACAAACATTTTTTCACTCATGACATTTTGACATGTCGCAGAAGTATAAAGAATAACATTATTGATGGCTGTATTCCAGTTGGCTGCTTCAGTTTCAGGGTCCTGGTATTGTACATACACTTGAATAGAACAGAGCCTTCGTTAATGGTATTATTAATACCTGTGCCCATAGGCATGTCTAAATTAAGTAACACCTAATGAATAATTGCATATCAAGAATATTTTATTTGACTGTAATTATTTCAAGGAAATGAAACGGTGTGTTCCACTGGAGGTTGAAGCTTTTACCCACGGTGTATAACTCGATTGACTTTCTTCCGGTGAAACGAGTCGAGATGAGAAACAAGCTTTTCAGATAATTGCTTTTTTGGCTTCATTTCAAATAAATCTCCAACCTTGAAGTTTAGCTTTGCTTCACTTGGATTTAATAAGACAACCCTACAGAATTTAGATAGTCAGTGAGTAGATAGTAATTGAGTTCTTTAATTCTTTGTCCTCACTTTAGTTTTTCTGAACCAAATTGTCTCTTTAACTTCATCTCCTCTCTCTCTCTCTCTCTCAGCCTGTCTCTCCTGTCTCAGGATGAGAACGGAGTGGTGTTGTCTCTAGGTTCGGAGTCTCAGAGGGTCATCGTCAGCGCCCGGCCCTTCCGCCTGGACATCATGGAGGGGCGAGAAGTGCTGATGTCTCTGAACTCGCGCGGCCTGCTGGCCTTTGAGCACCTGAGGATGCGCAAGGACACGTGAGAAACCACGCATGCATTCACATTTACAAATGCTAGCCCTCTCTTTTTAATCCATGTCATCACTCAGTGGATGATTTCGATTTTTGTTCCCATGAAATGGTTTGTTTTTTAAGTATTGTCTCTGACTCGTTGTTCTGTCCTCTTCTCCCTATCATCCTAGTTTCTCCTATAAAGTATCTAGCACAGTGGCTAGCGTGTGGGATAATATCAAGAGGGTATTCTCTAGGTAAAGACCCTTAAGATTTGTAAGTGTGTATTCTGTTCCTTGTGCTAATGCTGCCAACAGTGACAAAAATTCGAAGGGACTCCCATCACACCAAATGCAGTGTTTACCCTCCAATAAATGTGACTGAGCCTGAGAGAGGGCTGTGGCTGAGTGTGTGCATGTCTGTGTTTAATTCGATCCATAATTAAGGGGTAAGTCCAGCCTCCTGGTATCATCCTCCATGTTTTTGAAGGATCATTTAAACTAATGATTAAATAATTGCCACTTAAGATGTAGGTTTTTCATCTCATTTCATGAAACAAAAGAAAAATCATTCTGATCATGAAAAAAACACATCTGAATGATTTGGGGTTGGCTGCACCGACCAGTGATTTTACCGTCTTGTGTCAGATCAGCGTCCACTTAACTGAATCGTCTAGTAGTGTCACGCCAGCAGATCGAACTAACATTTTAGCTGCATGACTTGACCAGTTGTGTTGACTGAAACTAGTTTTCACGCTTGCTCAGCTCCTGGTAGATGAAATATAACGCTAGTGGCAGCAGGTTTAGAAGGCACATCAAAGTAAAGCTTTTTGTCTTCACACACATATAGTTTGAGATCCACTAGATAGTTAGTGTCTTATTTTCCAATATGGCAGCCCAGATCCCAAACCCAACAGCAACATCTCTCTTTGTGGTTATACTTCAGTTTGCATTTCTGTTTAAGTTTTCAAGATATTTGAAAAAAATTCAGCATTTTTTTTTTCTGGTGCGATGCTTCTTTTGAGCTCTAAACCATACTCTCATTATTGCGGAAAGACGGCTTTTGTAGGCGCCTTCACTATTGTTGTGTTTGTGCTGTATTGTGACAATTTAAGATGGAGACTAAATTCATGAATGTCAGAGTGAAACTACAATATTAAATCATATTGAGACCAAACTGACAACGTCTGCTTGGTGAACCATCAGGCTTCAGCTTTCTTACAAAAACACAGTTTGAGCCTCAGTACTGATCTAACTACTGTTAAATCCATTTGCCCGGTATGTTTAGAAGCTAATAAAGAAGAGAAACTCCACTATTGCGACAAATGATTAACATTTTACTTTACAGACTTTACTCCTACATATATAAAAACAAAATGCTTGCCAAAATCTGATAAAAATTGCCTCGCATGATTTCACTCGCGTCTGCGTCGGTAGCCCGCACTTTTGGTGGTCACGCTGCATTGTGGGTAATGTAGGCGCCTCTTGAAGAACGTGTGGAATAAAAAAACACTAGCTCTGGTTCTGCTGCATCAGTCTTTCTTTTTTTTTTTAACTGTATGTCATGAGTCTGTTGCTGTTATAGTGTTAACATGCTTTATTTGTGGAGTACTCTACACAGACCCCCCCCCCCCACTCACTCACCTCTTGCAGTGCGACACAAGAGACTCGTTTTTCCGCTGAAATGTGAACATGGCGTAGCAGGCTTTCAAAATGCATTTTTGCACCACTGCCTCTTGCGTGTGCGCTGCTGCAGATCATGCACCTCCACAGCTGTGTGTGACTACCACATGTCAGTGTATTGCTATGGCCTTGATCGCACCATGGTGCACTAAGGGTTCCACTGGATACCAGTTGGTTCTGTGAGGAACCTTGTGGGTGTTACAAGCAGCACCCACTAGAGATCGAGTCCCATAATGCCTAGCTTGAAATAGCCACAAGGTAGGGAGTTACTCAGTCCCCTTTATCATTAAAGTCAAGTCGATCAAGTTCTTGTACATCATTTGCTCGTTGTCGATGTAGAATCAGGGAATATTCACCAACCTCCCTGTTTGTATGTGTCTTCCTTTTTATCATGGTTTAATTATACCCCCATATATTGTCCCAAGAGAGCGTCTATTAGCCAAAGTGACATCTTTATCTTTCCTGTAACCCCTTTCTCACTTTGGGCCATGGAGCAGTCAGGTGGACCCAGAGGATGAGAAGAAAGAGGAGGCTGATCCGGCAACCCAGGCAGAGGTACTACACACTAAAATACACTTTCTGTTCCACTTCCTCTCTATTTTAAGCGCACTGTTTCTATGCGGTATCTTCTCTTCTAAACGATGTCACTGTTCTTCCTGTTGGGCTGCCAGAAAGCAAAAGAAGAGGAAGACAAAGTAGAAGACGGGATGTGGGAGGAAACGTTTAAATCTCACTCAGACGGCAAACCTAATGGTAATCATTTCAGTTAGTTAATTCATTTAGATTCATTACTGTTGCCATAATATCTGCATTAGGGGTTAACTTGTGTTGATCTTGCCTCACAGGTCCATCTGCTATTAGTTTAGACTTTTCGTTGCCGGGTGTGGAGCACGTCTACGGCATCCCAGAACACGCAGACACCCTCCGGCTCAAAACAACAGAGTGAGTGTCAACAACAAGTCACGTTTCACGTACAAAAAGGAGTTTGAATGGCACATTGGTCAGTGTCGTCTTCTCTGCGTTGGATCAAACCCGTGTGTATTTTTCTGTTTCAGGAATGGGGATCCATATCGGCTCTATAACTTGGATGTGTTCCAGTACGAGCTGTACAACCCTATGGCTCTCTATGGCGCTGTCCCAGTCATGTTGGCCCACAACGCCCAGCGCACCACCGGCATCTTCTGGTTCAATGCTGCTGAGACCTGGGTGGATATCAGCTCCAACACAGCTGGAAAGGTATGTCCCTTTTTTCTGTTTCCTTACTTCCTGGGACTTGAGCCAGTAGTGAGTGTCCGCTTCACTAAAGCACAGAGCTTCACTCACTCACTTTTGCCTCTTTCCAGACCGTGTTTGGAAAAATGTTGGATTACGTTCAAGGCTCTAGCGAGACTCCACAGACGGATGTGCGTTGGATCTCTGAAAGCGGCATCATTGATGTCTTCATCATGCTTGGGCCGACACCCAAAGATGTCTTCTCTCAGTATGCCTCCCTCACAGGTAGGAAGCTTGCTTTTGAGCATGAGTACGGGTATCTGCACAGCCCAATAAAAGATCAGCGTTTGACTGACGTCCTCGGTCTCAGTTCCTCTCCTCATGTCCTACCTCCTTCTGCTGTCGTCCATCAGGCACTCAGTCATTCCCTCCCAAAGCTGCTGTGGGCTACCACCAGTGCCGCTGGAACTACAATGACCAGGAGGACGTGGCTTCAGTGGACGCGGGCTTTGACGAGCACGACATCCCCTATGACTACATCTGGCTCGACATTGAGCACACGGATGGCAAGCGCTACTTCACCTGGGATCCACACAAGTTTGCAACGCCAAAGGAAATGCTGCAGGGTCTCGTGGAGAAGAAACGCAAGGTACATAATACAAATAATCCAACATCACGGTAACAGCAGACAATGTTAGGAGCCACTAATTCTTGGGTTTTCTTGCCAGAAGTTCTCCAGTTTCTATTTTACTTTCTATCTCATGTCACCTGAAATCTCAGTAAAATAACCTGCAGGCACCTTCTTGACAGGACTTACACGTATAGATAGTTTCAAGACTCTGCTCGGTCTTCTTTCTTTTCTTTACAGATGGTGGCCATTGTGGACCCTCATATCAAGGTAGACAGCAACTACAAGATCCATAATGAAATCCAAAATAAGGGTTTCTATATCAAGAACAAAGACGGTGGAGACTACGAGGGCTGGTGCTGGCCTGGTAAGAGACTGACAACTTTGCATCAATGTGTGAAAGTGCATTTGTAAATATTCTTTATGAAATTGCTCGTTGCCGAGACACCGACATTTATAGTGACACGTTGCTCACTGATATAACTACAATGAATATTTCCCTCACTTTCCTTTCTGTGCTTCGGATGATGAACTTTAGGTAGTGCCGGCTATCCAGACTTCACTCGTGCAGACATGAGGGACTGGTGGGCCAGCATGTTCGCATACGATCAGTATGAGGTGAGTCTGAAGGACACTTGTCTCTCATTCAACCTTTATTTAACCGGAAAATGTCACAAGCTCCCAGTGACATTAACATATTGTCACTGAGGAGCTGCCAACCACAACCTCAGTTTTCTTCTGTTGGCCACTGACTGAAAGGATTTTTTATTTGTAATTTCTGAGCACAGGTTTATTGACTCTTTTCCAATAATGCGGTTTGTTTGGCCTCAAGACTTTAATCCACAATCTCTGTCCGCCCTCCAGGGTTCCATGGAGAACCTGTACACATGGAACGACATGAATGAGCCGTCGGTCTTTAACGGGCCGGAGGTGACCATGCACAAGGACGCGGTGCACGGAGCCTGGGAGCACCGCGACGTGCACAACTTGTATGGCTTCTATGTGGTGAGTGCACACAGTCAGTCTGTGGCTTGATGTTAAAGACTGAACCGTTCTCTTCAATATTTAACATTTCATCCTTATGTCTTTTCCTTGATTGTATGCTACCATTTTCTAGCAGTGAGATTAAAATCTGGGAAATTATGATTTTAAAATAATCTTATTGTCATGATTCTACTGTCTGGCTTTGAAAGAGAAACAAACTATAAAAATCTGATGCTATGGGTAAAACATAGCAGTGATTATCATGTGTACAACCTGCAGCAAATGGCCACAGCGGAGGGTCTGATCCAGAGGTCAGGGGGAGTTGAGCGTCCGTTTGTCCTGACCAGAGCCTTCTTTGCTGGGTCGCAGCGCTACGGTAAACCCTTCGCCGGTTTCACTTTTCTTTCTTCCTGCTAGAAATCTTTCATGTCGGGCTATTTTAGCACAAGACCTTAACTGTCGTCGTGCGTCTGTAGGAGCTGTGTGGACGGGAGATAATGCTGCTGAATGGGACCATCTGAAGATCTCCATCCCCATGTGTCTGAGCCTCGGCCTGGTGGGAATCTCCTTCTGCGGCGGTGAGTTTGTCCCTTTAGTCTGCGTTAAATGACCTGGACAAAGAAAAATATTCTGAGAAGTTTTGTGGCTGACTTTTGAAGCAGTTGTTTTGTTTGTCAGTGTTTTTTAAATATATATATATATATATATATAAAATGATTTTACAATACAACTTCTACAATGTGTATTTCCTCATGGTTATATCTTCCTATAAACCAGGAGGGTGGTAGTCAAGAATATGGACATATCCTCATTATGTTTCAGAACATTTGATAAAATAAACCTGTAAAATCAATAAACTGTGAAAAGGAAACTATTGCTCTCCAGAAATTGAAAAAAAAGATAAGAAAGATGTTATATTTAACCAGTACCTACCAGTAATCATCAGTACCCTGACACCAACACGACTCCATCTGTCTCACAGCTGACGTCGGTGGTTTCTTCAAGTCTCCGAGCACCGAGCTGCTGGTGCGCTGGTACCAGACGGGAGCCTACCAGCCGTTCTTCAGGGCCCACGCCCACCTGGACACCCCCCGCCGAGAGCCCTGGCTCTTTGGTCCGGACAACACGGCGCTGATCCGCGAAGCGGTTCGTCAGCGCTACACCCTTCTGCCCTACTGGTACCAGCAGTTCTACCACGCTCACCGCACTGGAGAGCCCATCATGAGGTGAGGACAGGCCAGGGAACATTGCTTATGTCGGTTTCATCTTTCCTGTACATCACCAATCGTTGTGCGTTATTGGCCTCATACAAAGGAATGGAAATTCAAACAAAATATGTTTCCTACTCTGACTTGCAGTTATGCATAATAGCTCAATTTACAGAAATGCTTAATTTTGTTTGTTCTTTCAGACCACTGTGGGTGGAGTATCCTCAGGATCCTGCTACGTTCGCTCTGGATGACGAGTTCTTGATCGGTAAGAAGACACAAGACATCAAATCTTTATTAATAATAATAAAGGCATTTTACTTTAAGTGTGCCTGAAGTAAGCCTAGGGGTTTCCCCTTTTATAGTTTTACCAGAACTTTAATGTTGTCCTCTGCCTAGTTTCATCAGATCCATCATGAGATCTCTTTATGGTTTTAGTTTTTAAATCTGTGCCTGAAGGTTTAAGTGCCTTTTGGCACAATGTCGGTATGTCTTGGGTGTGGATCCTGCGAGCAGTCGCGGTACAACAAGACAAACTACAATGGAAACTGTAAATCAACTGTTACATCAAGACAGACGTGATTCAAAGCGATTATCAGATCCACTGACGCTGCTTAACTCTGCTGCAGGGAGAGACCTGTTGGTGCACCCGGTCACTGAGGAAGGGGCGAGGGGAATCACCGCCTACCTACCTGGCAAAGACGAGGTTAGAGGAAGAAACATGGACGCTTTAACACATCTTACTATTACTGTCTCTCTGCGTTCAGACTGAAGCTCAGTGTTGCAATGTAATGGTTCTGTCAATAAAAGGTGTTTTTAGAGGACTGCTGATTCAGGCGTCGTCTCAACTTGTGTTCCTCAGGTTTGGTTTGACGTCCACACCTTCCAAAAGCACAACGGGGCCCAGAACCTTTACATCCCGGTCACCATGAGTTCTGTAAGACACACTTTCTATATTTCGAGGCTCCACATCCTTTTAACAATTATTATTTTCCTCATATCCTCTGATGTTAACGTGGAGCTTCCTGTCTTCTGTTCAGATCCCCGTGTTCCAGCGTGGCGGCTCCATTATTCCCAGGAAGATTCGAGTTCGCAGGTCCTCCTCCTGCATGATGCACGATCCCTACACTTTATATGTGGCCCTTAACCCCCAGGTAACGCAACTCTCATCCACTGCTGTTTTTGATTGTTTCTTCACTCATGTACATTTGGCTCCTACAGGGATTGCTCCTATAATATAAAACAATGGATCTAGTTGTAAATAAATGTTCATCCGCTGCTGTTCTGACATGTTGCTTTGTCCTACTTTGTGTTTTGACCGTTTCTGTGACAGAGAACTGCAGAGGGTGAGCTCTACATAGATGATGGCCACACCTTCAACTATGAAAAGGAGGAGTTCATCCACAGGAAGCTGTCCTTTGCCAAAAACATGCTCTCTTCTGCGTGAGTGACCAATATTCTCCTGCTTGCATCTCTATTGTATCGCAGACTTAGGTCTGTAAAACATTCATGACTTGTTTTCTAAGGTTTAACATTTTTGTGTCCATGTCCCTGCTTGGTTCTCAGGAACCTGGCTCCAGATGCCCAGTTTTCCACCCGCTCCTGGATTGAACGCATTGTCATACTGGGAGCCAGTAAACCCAGCAAGGTTACCCTCAAGACTGCTGGTGAGTGCAATATACAGCATTTCACTCACACGTTAATGCTCATGTGTGTAATTCATTTAAAGTTAGACTGTATGCTGACTAAAGGAATCTGTTCAACATTTATACCATTTTAAACAGAAGAACAATCTTTCTCTGAAGCTCAAATACCATTTTGTTTGGACAACTAAATTTGGGTGCATTTGAACTAAAGTAAGAGGTATGGAGAATTTAAAGTGTGAACCGGTTTGCTGCAGAACGCACTTTAGAACTGATTTTACCCGTCGTTTTACACCCTCAGGATTCTTATTACGATCTTATTGTTGCTGTTTTTCAAAAATGATCTGTTGTGAGACCGTGATGAGATTCACGTACCCTTTCTCTCTTTGTGCTTTGCAGAGGGTCAGGAGAGCCAGCTAGAGTTTGACTTTGACGCCTCCATGTCGGTGTTAACGCTTCGTAAGCCCGGCGTGAACGCAGGGTTGGACTGGAACGTGACGCTTCAGTAATCATCAGGAGGCGCAAGAGGAGAAACTGACTGAAATGGAACAGGAGCGACAGAGAAGAAACAAGGCGCTGATGCACAAGACTAACCACAGCAAGACAACAGGATAGCCATCATGGAAAATAAAGGACATTAACACACAACACATTGAATACACACACTTTTAATCCCTGCACACACACGCACACATCCATGTAGACCTGTCAGTCGAACTGAGCCACGTGACGTCGCTGCCATTTCCCTCTTGTGTTCAGTCACACTATAATACCTAACAACAGAAGAGGTTACTGTTAGATAGTTATGTTTGTCACATTTATAAATAGATAACAATTGAGAAATATGTCATTGTAATGAATTTTTGGGGTAAAGAAAGAAAACATTCAGGCACACTTTTTTTTTTTTTTTTACTTTTTTTTTTTTATTGTCCACTTTGTTGTCATCCAGTCTGCCTCAGAGGAAAGATCACTGTGACGGACTGTTTGCTATTTAAAATGAAGGTTCAGATTCAAAGCACATGCTCCACCTGCTGGTGATTCCCTCTATCTGCTTCTGACTGAATCCTTAAACTCATTCCAACCCTCTCTATTAAGCCAATCAGCTCAGAGCTCCACCGTCTGTACTCGTGCCACATTACATATATTTTGGAGAGGGCTTGCCAACAATCAGCTGTGTGGCTCTACACTTAACTTTCATCCTGCTGTACTTAATATTTCCACAAAATGGGAAGAGATAATCATCTTTCTCACCAATTCTGAGCAGTAAATTATTGACACGTCTCTCCCTGAGCTCGTCAGTGATTAATCTGTGTGCATGGAAATGATTATCATCCCTTCAACATGGAAGTAACCGGGTTGTTAAACTGCTGCAGAGAGAGATTTTCAGCTGTTGGGAATCCCTTCAGGGGACTGAACCGCTGATGTTTGCGGATCATCCTGTTGACGTGCTTTCTTTGTTTTATTGAGTTCTTTCCCAGCTTTGTTTACTAAATTCTTTTTAATGCACTTGGGGAAGAGTGAGAACTTTAAAAGTTGTTTAGATTTTCATGTGTTGCTAGATGTCGGGATCATCCAGGATTTCCAGTGTGTCGTTTGGATCTTAATGAATGGTTCAAATCCGTGAAAGGTTTTTCACAAGCAAATGTTCATATACAGCCTTTATGATTCTCACAACGAATCAATCCTAAATGCACACAGAGCACTCATTAATATTCAAATGGTTCTCTGGAGACCCTGGATTGTCGAATCATTGGACCTTTTAGGGGTTTTGTTATGAATTTGTCTCTTTGATTGTTTTATGATCATTAATGTACATGTTCCTGCAATTTTGTTGGCGATGGCTTGAATTGGTGGAAATTTAAGTGAACAGACTCAAAGTTGTCAGATGTACTCTAAAAGATAAGGCCAAGTAAAAATAAAGTTGACCAAATGTGAAAGAAGTCCCCTTTTGTTCTTCTAGCCTGAAACAATTCTGTAATTTCAGAGTCAGAATTTGGTGTATCAAGTAGTTTTTTGCATACAAGGAATTTAATTTGATGTATTGATGCATAGACCAGGAACTCAGAAAAAATGCAATAAAAATATAAAGTACTATTTAACAATTTAAATATATGTACAATGTAACTGTTGAAAACAGAAAGACCTAAGCAAGAATGCAACAATATGTTTAAGGGGATGTGCAAAGGTTCACAGTATTTAGAATAGAATGTCCAATAAGTAAATTTAATGAGACATTGGTAGTTTTTTAAAAATACTGGATTGAATTTATATTTGTTTGGATCTATTTCACATTATTTTCAAAGCAGGTTTGGTTTCAGAGAGATTTTGGATGCTTTCTACGTGCAGATTTAAGGCTTGCAGTATGTTAAAACAAAACTGTTTCTCTTTTATTGAGCATAGAACAATAAAACTAGACGCACACTAACCGAAGCCAGCTTTGTAATTAATTACTACATCCTAAGTGCAAAATCAAGGGGTTATTTATTTATTGATCATGTTTAAAGTATTACAATATCCAACATTACAAAAGAAGAAAACATGAAACAAAAAGCAATGCGTTCAACATCAAACTGTACGAGGGAGATGTAACTAACATATATTATACAACTCTTTTATAACAAGCTATTTCTTTCCATTCTTTTTTTGGCTGTTTATTTTCGTCAGAGTTTTGTCGCGGATGAATGACGTCAGTGAGACGTTTCCCATCATGGCGGCGGAAGGCTATGAGGAGATGAGCGGCAACGGGGAGCTCGAGGAGTCTTCAGGTAGTTAGATCAACATTAATGAATGTACGATGCGCCGTTTTGTCGTTTCACGGATATTAATAAGCACTGGTTTCATCTGCAAGTGTTTTTAATAAAGGTCCGATGCGACCGGAGTCTTGTTGACAAGCATGACAAGCTAAGCTAGGCTAACGTGATCTCAAGTAACGTAACACACACACACACACAGCACGAAGCAGCACAGTGTCCACCAACTTTAACCCACTTAGCACGCAGTGTTTAAAAAAGAGATTTGTGGTCACTAATCAGTTATTAGTTGAGTTATGTCCACAGCATCCCAACAGGACCCGAGTCAGCGCTGTGGTGGAGATCTAACCCGTGTAAACTGTTACTGCATGAAGTCTGTCTCTGCCGGTGTAACCAGAGGCTTTCAGGAATAGAGGCAGAAAATCACTTCTTTCGTTTTTGTTTTGCCTGCTGCGGGTAGTAGATAAGCTGCTTTACTAGTTTGACTGGTCAGTGTAATTGTTATATATTTAGTTTTTATAAAAGCATTTAAACTGCATTAGTATTCATCTTCTGTCTGCTTTTTTTTCTTTTATTGGTTTACTTATAGTTTGTATTAATTGATGGATGTGCGTGTGGGGTTTTCACACTTTGTTGTTGTATTGTTTGAACACCTGTTGGCCCTTTGTTTTACGAAACTGTCCAGGAAGCAGAGGAAGCTTCATGAATCTCATTACATGTATTTCACCAGTGCCTTTTTCTGTGTTGAGGTTAATTGCATTTTTCTATTATTATTATTTTTCTCACAATAAGTGCAAAAGCTAGATGTCAGAAGCACTCAAGTGTCTGTGTTTCTGTTGCTACCACACCTCAAGACAATTAAGTAAATTAAGAGGAATGGATAGGAACGGTGTTTCGGGGTTAAAGCTGTTTCATCGTGCAGAGGGAATAAACAACTAACTTAACTTCTCAGTCATTTGTTGTTGAGTGAAAATAGTTGTCGCTGTTGAAATTTGGTTGAGGGTTTTTTCATAAAAGAGTTGGCTGTGACATTGTTGTGTTTCTGTTTGAAAGGACTTTGGGAGGTTGGGATTATGGCCCAAATTCAGCGCCATAGCTTCATGAAAAGAGTTTTGGTAAAAAGCAGTACCGACTCATTACCTTTTTGATCTACCCCCTCTTCAGCCATGGAGGCCTCTGAGGATGCTGCATCGCCTCCGGCTGAAATGGCAGAGATGTCAGAAGAGAACGGCAGTCCCGCCGTGGCCCCTGAGACCCCCGTAGGCCCCGACCCGGTTACCTTCTCAATGCCCCCACCTGCAGAAGACGAGGAGGGAGAATTTCCAGCAGACTTTGAGCGCCTGTGGAAGGCTGCCCACGACAATCCTCAAGACTTCACCAGCTGGACTGACCTGCTGCAGTACTGCGAGCAAGAGGTGTGTGTTAGTTGTTTTGACGTGAGAGACGAAGGAGAATCAACTGGGTTTAGATTTTAAATAATGTGGGAAAATATCATATTCTCCCTCAGTAAACATTTAAAACATTTGGACTTTTGTCTCGTATGTCCAGAGTCACATCACAGCGTCACGCAGAGCGCTAGAGGCTTTCCTCACTCGTTACCCGCTCTGCTACGGCTACTGGAAGAAATATGCTGATCTGGAGCGCCGTGCTGGCTACAACAACAAAGCAGAGGAGGTAAAACCTGGAGAGGGGGTTTAGTCTGTGCCCACACCATTAGGAATGCTTTTAAGTTTATTTAGGAAGTGTTTTTCACTGGTTTTCGATGTTGCTGTGTCAGGTGTGTGTTCAGGGTCTGCAGGCGATCCCTCTGAGTGTAGATCTGTGGATCCACTACATCAATCTGCTGCTGGGAACGCTGGACATGAACATGCCCGAGTCGCCCACGCGGATTCGCAGGTACTTCCATTTAAGACTCGTCTTTTTTTGTTGTGTTTTATGCTGTTTGACGTGCAAAAAATAGAAATTAATGAGTAAATAAGCTGCTGTTTGTTAAAGCTGTAGGCTTCATTGTTTTCCAATCCTCAGTGTGTTTGAAGATGCGGTTGTGGCAGCAGGTCTGGACTTCCACTCAGACCGGCTTTGGGATCTGTATGTCGAGTGGGAGAAGGAGCAGGGGAACACGAAGAAAGCAGCAGCCGTCCTGGACAGAGTCCTCAAAGTCCCCACCCAGCTCTATAACACCAACTACGACAAGTAAGACCACACACACACGAGCCAAGTGTGTGTGTGCCAATCCCAAATTCTTGGAAGTAAATTACAAAACAAAAATGCCAATCTTATTTTTGAATTTTGTTGGACAATGAATATTTTCAGTTGTTTCTTATTCAACATTAAGTCAACATACTATCGTGATCTTTTTTCTCTTTCTCCCCTTCTCTTTCTTTTCCCCTCCGATTAATCTCATTTTGCATCCTCCCCTCCTTTCCTCCGTCAGGTACAAGGAGCACCTGAACAGCCAGGAGCCTAAAGACGTGCTGTCCCCGGAGGAGTACGAGGAGCTGAGGACGTTGTGCCGTCAGAGTCAGAAGGCAGAGCGCGCCGAACAAGCCCAGGAGGAGGAGGAGGAGAGGCCGCCGGGGGAGGAAGAGCCCGCCACACCCGAGGGCACAGACACGGTGAGTGACACGTGACCGCCTCACACTCGACCAGTGAGACGTAAGTTAAAGACATAGTCAAATAGATGATTGATTTGATATTTTCCTACTTTCTGTGTTTAGGAGGAATTGATGCAGAAGATGAGGGAACAAGTGCTCGTTCGCAGGGACAAAGTGTACCAGGACAACGAGGGAGAAGTCCGCAAGAGATGGCACTTTGAAGACGCTGTGAGATTTTCTTTTCTCTCTTTCTTCTCCGCTCTGTTCCTTCATAAGTTGTTTTCGTGATTTTGTGATTTTGAAACTCAAAAAAAGAGGCTTGACGGCAAACATATTTTCCAGACACTTATCTGAATCATTCTGAATCCGGAGCGAGGTCAAATTTAATAACATGTATACGTTTGATGCCTGAGTTTTAGTACTGGTAGAAAAACTAATTTATTGATCCCTTACTTTGAGGAGTAGCAACACTTTTTTCTACCAAAGCCTTTTTCATTTGGTAAAAGAGGCCAAATTCAAATGTTAGATACTATGTTATACATAGTATTAATATATTTTATTTATTTTTACTGTTTGCAGTTTTACAGCTAAATATTTTTTTCTGGTAAATATTCTATTGCCCTTTTATTTGTATTTATTGAACTGGTGACACACTTTCATCCCTTGCTGGTTTCTTGTTCTCTGGCCTGTAGATCAAACGTCCTTACTTCCATGTCAAGCCACTGGATCGCCTCCAGCTGCGAGCCTGGCACTCCTACTTGGACTGGGAGATCGCTCAGCTGAACAAGGACACCAAAGACCCCCAAGACCCCCAACAAGGTCAGCTGTCACCTGTCCCGGCGGGTCTACAAATCGGTGTTAACATCTGAACGCGTCCACAACCGCATCTTCAAACACACTGAGGATTGGAAAACAATGAAGCCTACGGCTTTAACAAACAGCAGCTTATTTACTCATTAATTTCTATTTTTTGCACGTCAAACAGCATTTCAACACCCCTTTTTTATCCTCGCAGATCCAGACCAGGCAGCCACAGAGGAGTTGGAGGTCACAGCCCAGCCTCAGGAAGAATCAGAGGAAGCTGCGGTTAGCAATGACGACCACAGGGTTCGCATCCTCTTTGAGCGTTGCCTGATCGCCTGCGCTCTGTATGAGGAGTTCTGGATCAGGGTGAGCAAGAAAAGTGTTTGTGTGTGAGTGAAAGAGCACACAAAAGGGCATACACTGGCCATCACTTGTGTGTGTGTGTGTGTGTGTGTGTGTGTGTGTGGACATATACACACAAGATCTCTGTAACATGTTCTCGTATGTGTCGTTCAGTACAATCAGTACCTGGAGTCGCAGAGTGTGGACGAGGCGCGGGTTATTTTCAAACGAGCCTGTGAGATCCACCTGGCGTACAAACCCAACATCCACATGCAGTGGGCCACCTTCGAGGAGAGGCACGGTACGACCAAACATGAACACACCGTACAAACACAGCTTTATTTCTTTACTCACCAACACTCTGTGTCGTCTCAACATCAAGCATCAACATCTTGAATGCATTCTCTTCCTCATTAAACCTTTGCAACACTGATTTAATGAAATAACATCTCCACACTCGTGAAAACTCACCTCACCTTTTCCATCAGGTGACTTAACCGAGGCCCGGCGGGTGCTGGAGGCTCTGGAGAAAACGCTACCAGGGTTGGCGGTGGTCCGTCTTCGCAGGGCAGCTTTAGAGAGGCGAGCGGGCCAGCTGGACCAATCGGAGGCGTTGCTGCGTGAGGCGGTGGACGAGTCCACAGAGAAGCCCACGTTACACGCTTTTTATTCCGTCAAGCTGGCTCGTCTGCTGCTGAAGCTCGGCAGGAACCCCAGCAGAGCCCGCAGAGTTTTACAAGAGGCCCTGGAGATCAGTCCGGTGAGGAAAATGGCACCCACGAATATTTCAGCAAAGAACACAGACTTTTGGTCAATCTTCTCTCCGCCCTTCATCCTAAAAGTTAAAGAATGTCGATGCTGAACACAAGATGTTAAACTTGCAGTAGGCTTTGCTTATTGATGGCTCGACCTGCTGAGCATGTTTTTTAACAGTCTGACTTAACGTCCCTTCTGATAACTGAAAACGTTAAAAAATGAAAGAAAAATCGCTTCCATATGATTTTAATGCTGGTAAAAATTAAATGGCTAGTCCATGATTTTATTATGTGATTGTATTATTATTTGTGCCTCGCGCACTAAACATCGAGTACTTTGTGTGCCACAAAAAAAAACATTTCAGAGAAAATGAGTTCATGCGTGTAGCTTCAGGAGTCAAAAGCCAAAACTTGGTACTTAAAGGAACAGCATGTGTCATTTAGGGGGATCTATTGGCAGAAATGGAATATAATATTAATAAGCATGTTTCCTTTAGATTATAATCACCTGAAATTAAGAATCGTTGTGTTTTTGTTTGCTTTGAATGAGCCGTTTATCGCTACATACGGAGCCGGCTGCCATGTTTCCAAAGTAGCCCAGAAAGACCAACTGATTGATCTACACACTGCACCTTTTTTTAAGTCATTCTAGTTCTTAGTCTTCCTCTCTATGTGCCCTCCCCCCCCTCAGGATAACGATAAGCTGCACCTGAACCTGTTGGAGCTGGAGGTGTCGGGGGACCCCTCAGCGGAGGCGGTGCAGGAGTGTGTGACACGGGCCCTGGCAGCTCCCCTCGCCCCACACACCAAGATCCTCTTCTCACAGAGACGCCTGCAGTTTGCAGAGGACTACAGCAACTCTATCCAGAGGTCAGAGTTCAACATGAGTCTTCTGTAAACCCCGATGGTTTACCGAACAAACCATTCGTCGTCTCCGACCTGAATGTAGTTTTTCATTGTCTCTTGTGTCATCCGCAGTGTGCTGTCCGTCTATGAGGAGCACCAGAAGCTGCTGAAGGAGTTAGGAGGAACGAAGAGAGAAGCAGAGAACGGGTAAATTCGTATTTAGTATTTAGTTTGTTCCTGTTGTTTCATGTTAGCAAATTGTCAAATCTGTCCATTTCAAATTCTTAATCCACAATGTTTCGTTATTTTAACCTAGAACTCACACAACCGTCTTCTAAATGTTAACGTTTGAAAAATATGACATCGTTGCAGCTCCTGCGTCAGATTTCTTCATGAGTTTAATGTATTAAAATAAAGTTTGCTTTGTAACTTCAATATTGACTATTGAACATTATGCATGCTTTTATTTTGAAGAGCAACTTTTTTCTTTCTCTATCTTAACGAGAATTTTTGTCTATTATTGAGTCCTAGAATCAAATTTCTTCTTAAAACAATCAAAATGAAATAGACCAGCAGTGGAAAAACAAGACAAATAAGATCTAAAGTCTGCAGATAAGATTGTTTTTTGTTATTTTTCTGCGTAAATAAGATCTGCGTTGAGATTATTGGTAATAATCAGATTTTTTTTTTTTAGGGATGAGGACTCGGAGAAGATGAGCAAAAGTGACGACGGCTCAGCCGTTGCCGTGTCCGCACAAGTCCCGCCCACCATGCCGCATGTCCCCATCACGACACCCCCCCCTCCTGTGATGGGCGCCGACGCCAGCTCACAGGCCGGCTACGGGGGGTACGGCAGCTGGTACCAGGTAAGATGGAGTTTATAACACAGACGGCTGATTGTGTGGAGGGAAAACTATTCAGGGAAGTCTGTAAATGAACAAATATGGCTTTGACTGACCTAAAGAAAGTTTTTATTGTTTTACAGTAGGTTTTATTGAGCCTTTTCCTGCACCTCAATAAAACCTACTGTAAAGCCAGAAGGACAGCCCAGTTCTTAAAGCTGCACTGGTTGCCAGTAAGCCACATAATTTATTTTAACGTCTTATTACTTATTTCTAAATCTCTACTTGGGCCTAAATATGTGACTGAATCGAGCAATGTAACCCTGCGAGACCTATTAGATCACCGGGGAGTGAACCGCGAGTGGCGCCGAGAGCAAAGTCTAAACAAAGAGACGGTGGCTTTTGGTCCAACTGCCTCCTGGTGTTAGGAACCAGGCTTTAAAACCTTATTGTTTGTAATTCAATGTTTTTAACTTTGTATTGTTGTTTTAACTTATGTGTACAGCACCTTGAACCTACCTTTGTGTATGAAATGTGCTTCATGAATAATCGTGCTTTTAGCTGGAGGTAAACCGACTCTATCGTCGGGTTACGGTGCAGTTTGAGATGTTCTGTTTTACTTTATGTTTCGGGTTCAATATTGATGTTTTGTTTCACTTGCCAGACCAGAAATACAGAAAAGTCCCTTTTTAGATTTTTTTTGAATAACAACAAAGACCAAACTTCATTGCCATGTTTAACATTTATTTAATTAAATGAATCCTCTAACACCACCCAATTAATCTCCTGTTTCCAGGATGTTAAAATGCTCACTAGCTTTTTGAAATCGCATACCTTTTTTTTTGTTTTGCTACATACTGCAGCTGCCCTTACAAAGTATATACTTTTGCATACAATTGGAAAATACTACCTTATCATTAGATTGCAAGTTGAACTCTGACCCTCTTGTCTCATACATCTGCTGTGCAGAGGATTGTGGGTCAGAATAGCCAGAAAAACATGCTGGCTTGCATTCCTTAAATGCGACCAGATGTAAAAGTCGGACATCCTGGCGTTTTTGGAATATTGCATTTGACATACTATGTATTGTCACATACTAAATCTTTTTTTCTGGCCTACTGAATAGTATGGCAGCACGGTTTGTCTTCACCCGCTGCCATTTTCTCCAGAGTGCCCAATCGGTGCTCCACTTGTGCAACTCTCAACAGAGACGAGAAGGAAGTGAGATGGCTCACTCCTTAGCTTATTGTTTGTTTCTTGTGATTGTTTTCCAGCAACCGCAGTACGGCAACTACGGCAACTACGGTTATCAGAACACCTGGAACTACAACCAAGGCTACTATCCTCCCAGCTAAAGGGGGCCACAGTGACTGTGACACCAGAAAGCCACAGTAAATGGTTTGGACCCAGGATGACTCTCAGCTGAACAAAACTGAACCACCCAGTCCTGCCGGTCCACCTGCTAAAAATAATATCCCAGCATCCTCTCCTCCCCGTCCTTCCTCTGAGTTACCTCACTGTCCTGGATGTGATTAAATAAGGGTCGGGATTTGAGCTCTTTTAGCATGTTGTGTCATTTCAGTGTTGAGTCTTGAGTGACAGTTGGAAAGACACCACTCCTATCGTCAGTGCATCAGTGTCTCTCCATTTTAATCAGAACTATTTTTGTATTTGTTTGCAAGCCCTTCACTCCCGTTTTAAACTCATCCAGTTTATCCAACTTCACAGGTGATGTATGATCGACATTTTGTACCATTCCAGAGTAGGATATTTGTTTTTTCTAATGTATATAAAGGTGTTTTATAGTGTCGCAACAGAACTGTTTGTGTCGTGTTGTCGTTTGCTTGTACTTTCATAATGAGGGTGAAAAATCCACCGTCGCACTACTTGGTTGTGAAACGTAAATTCTTGCTTCTCGTATCTACAGCAGTGTTATCTGAAGAGTATTCTGAACATCAGTGCATTGGCTCGGGTCATGTGAATTGGAATTTTAAGATAATCTAATTTTTAAAGAATCAAGTTGTGTGAAGTCACATAGCCAGCAGGTTTAAGAGGCCGTAATCTTCATCCTAATAGTCTGAAAACAGAGGAAGGTACAGACTCTACTTGTTCCCTTTTATATTAAATCTCTGGAATCATTTCGGGTACCACCAGCCAAACGCAAAGTCCATTTAATTCACATACAAGTAGAGCAAGCACTCAAATGTTCTTCCTACAGGAACAGTCCCTTTACCCACACGGATGTTTCAGGTGCTGATGAAGAAATTGATATATATTTTTTGTCCATTGGTCTGATAATCTGACTATTAAAGTGAAGACTATATCCTCTGAAACCTGCTTGCTGTATTTGTCAATAAGCCTTTATGACAGCATTTTCCCTCATGTCAGGAGCTCATGTTAGGAATGAAAGCTCTGTTCAAGTGTCCCAGTAAGTCGACATAGGACCCTTCAACTGTAATGATTTACTAAATCAGCTGGGATTTGTATTTTTTACTCAAACAGGAGTAAATAGTTAATTTGAGGATTATTATAAGCCATAGATTTGGTGCTCTAGTGAGTATTTACAGCATCATGGTGATGAAGGAAAATGCAACAGTGTGTCTGATTGCATAACATACATAACATCAGAGTACATAATCAATTCATTGTTGGTTTTGGTCTTTTTATTTTTATTCAGTCCACCATCATAATTTTCAGTCAGCTTTATTTGAAGTCGATTATTGGTGAGTATGTAGACATAACTGTCATCAATATATTTTAACTTATAAAAAAAAAACTGGCAAAGTAGAATGTCACAAAATCAGGAAGATCGTGCGGATTAAATCGAAGGCCCTTTCATCGAGTAGGTCTTGTGAGGTACTTTGCTTTGTAAAGATCAGGTTAAAATTAAACAATTCTGTTTGGAATCCTTCCTATAAATGTGTTGTTTGAGACCATGAAGCAGTATCCATCAGAAGCCAGCTATCTCACTGCACACAACAAAATCTATATCAAGCCCAGAGTGGCAAAGGGCATCATTCATTCAGTGAGTTAGCCAAACTGTTTATCACTGTAAACTTCATAAGAGTAGATAGAAACAATCTAAACGCAGCCTCGAGCTACATCTCTCTCTCTCTGCTTTAGTTCAGTTAGCTGACTTGTTGAGTGATACTAAAGAGGTGGTGGCTCTGCTCCCGGTTCAATCTGTTCCTGGTGTCCCTTGTGTTGATGCAGTGACGGTGGTGAGGTAGGCTCACGGAGCAGATCCTCCTCATCTCACTTTTTGGCAACAACCAGCACAGCTGAAGGCACCAAACCTAAAAACAACAGAAAGGAAAGTCACAAAATAAGGTCAGATACAGTCTGTAAGTGTCAGTTTTAGGGCCACACAGAAGCTAAACCACAAACACAGAGTTAAGTTTAATGTATATTAAAGTGAATGTGGTCTGTATTCAAATGTTCCTGCGCTCACCCAGTTCTTTGAGGGGCTTCTCCATGTCCAGTTCGGTGTAGACGTGGCGGGGGTAGGGTGACAGCAGCGTGAAGTCTTGACCCTCAGGTGTGTTGCCGTTCACCTGCACATAGACGCGCACCGCCGCCAGCGGCTCCTGGGCCTTGAAGACTGCCGTGAGGGTCGAGCCGTCCAGCATACGTACCTTTACCGAAGAGAAGAGCACGGGAGCAGAAGGAGAGAACAGTTGGGCAGTGGATGAGGGAGTTGTTTTTACATTAAAATAAGAAATGAAATTATTGTCTCACATTGAAATTAAATCAAAACTAGTTATAGTTCTTGCTCATCTTCCACTGCTCTTCAGTGGTGTAAAGAGAAGCGTGTCAGTGCATTCATCACACTACTGTGACTGAAGCCTGTACCTGTATCCTGGACTCGTCATACTCCTTCTTAGTGGGTGGGGGGCCGTGACTGGTGGGTGATGGGGGGCTGGGCTGGGCAGGCTGAGACGATGCTGCGGTGCTCGGGGGTCCACCGCCTCCAAACTAAACGGGTAAATAAAAAAATCATCAAAGCCGTTTTTTGGTTCCGTCAGAAGTGGTCATAGATATGAAGTGAATAGGACAAATAACTAGATGAGCATTGATTGGTTACCTTTTGTGCTCTCTCCTCTCTGTCTCGTGCAATCTTGTCTTTAACCCTTTGCCTGACAGGAATAACAACACAATGACAGGAATGAAGAAGATACAAATAGATTTCTTACTTTGACAGTTGTAGAGTTTGCTGACTTAAAAGCTAAGATGTCTGTTCAATTACATGTGAATCTGTCACTCATTCCTCATCTTAGTTTATGAGTTTCTTATCTTCTTCTGTGCCCTCCTCAACTTTCCCAGATTCTATTATTTCCACCCACTTTCTTGTCTTCAGAGGGAAGTCAAGTAAATGTTTTGAAAGTATGCGGAGTGGAAGTATCTTTGGATGTTTATTTGTATTTATTTGATGTATTATTTCATCCCTGGTCAGAAAAGTACTGTTATTACTACCCAACTATATAATATCTATACTGTGTTAAAATGAATACCGTACCTTGCCATTTTGTCCTCCATCTTTTCCTTCATGCGCTGATCAGTGAGCTTCTTCATATCGTCATCCTGCAGCTTTTGGCGGATCTGCTGCAGCTCTTGGCCGTGTTTCCTCCGCTGCTTCTCATGCTCCAACTCTTCTGCCCGCTCTCGCTCTCGCCTCTCCGCCTGCTTCACCCGCATCAGCTCCTCTAGCCTGAAAAAAACAGACACAGATATTTGCCTTTCCTTTTTTCAAGTGATATAGATAAGTGTAGTAAAGTAGCCTTGTTATGTAAGGAGAAGAAGCTGTGAGGTGGACACACAGTGCTGGAGGGATTTTATCAATGGCGTGCACTCTGACCGTCTAACTTGCTCAAGTTTCTCGTCCTCTGACATCGGAATCCTTGCACTGTCATCATTATCGCAGCTGCCGTCTCCTGCTGTCCCTGAAGCCAAAACAAATGCACACGAGAAAGACATATGTATTGTGTAGTATTGAAAAATCTTACTGTGAACCACGATTCATAGCAAAAATGCAATCCTTAAACCCTCAGTGAGGACAAAGAAAGAAATCCACCACAAGACACTCCTGGAAACAAACAAAGAGTGGACGGACCAATTCTATCTCCTGAGTGGAGGCGATGACACAGAAGAGAAAGTAAAACCTGAAAAAAACCTGTGACACCCACTAAATTTACGAAAGATAATTTGGAGTTTATACCATGTTCATAGATGGTGACTAAATCTGTTTACGGATGCAATAACCAAACAAGAATGTCTGTCTTTGTCTAATTGTGTGAATATAACAATATTGTCATATTGGACGTCCCTAGAGGGCTTCCATGGTGGCGTCTAGCTTCCATTGTCCTGACCTTCAGCGGTGTCTGCTAGTGACGGCTGTTCCGTGGTGGACTGGCTGTCGGCTTCTCCTCCCAGGACATTCCCCATGGGCGGCACAAAGGGCTCATCAATGTCTGGGTCGTTCTCATGTTCCATCAACCTGAGGAGAGCACATCACACAGGAAAGATGAGGCCTGCTTACGGGAATCAGTAGCACAGGTAGGTTTCAGGAGAGAGGACCGTGTCCATCCAGTCATCTCAACACTAATATGTTCATTCGCGAGTGCGAGTGCGAGTGTGGCTCACCAGTCCATGGCTTGTTCTATTCCCTGGTTCCCCGTGTTGGCCACCGCCTTTTCCCTGCAAACACCAGATAAAGGAGAGACAGGTTCACTCTACTGTTACCCACTTTTACTTTCACTTCTTTGAAAGTTGTCTCAAGTCTAGGAACTACATGAACCAGGATGCATTTTGGGGGATTTGGTGTCACTCACGCTCTGTTTCGATCAAAGCCCATCTCCAGCAGGCTCTCTAGTGTTGTTAGCTCTGCCATCTTGACCTGAAACAGATTGTACACAAAAGTTATATTAGATAAGAAGAATACGTTATGAAAACAAAAAGCTACAACTAGCGAGCAGGGTGACGTAAAACAAGCACTGTGACGTTATGCTAGTCGAGGAAAGTCTATATTTAGTTCATAGTGTTATATTCTGAATACAATGGTAACGTTCGTGTAGCTTCTTCACAGAGGACTGAGCTAAAGAAAAGTCATGAGCTGTTGTATTTAGCTAGTACGTCATGTTTGCTGAAACGTGCTGGTGTTTTTTAATGTAACTTACTCTCTATTAGCAGCAAATAGCAGTAGTGTAACAATACGTCCAAGTTAAAGTTGATGATTCAACCGTTAATGTGGCGTTATGCTGAGTGCTAAGATTAGCATTAATGTGGCTAACGTTCAAATTGCGAAAGCTAACTGAGATCCCTCGCTGGCTAGTACGATTAATAACGAACAGGCATTCTCATAAGCTCTTCGTCACTTTATCTATTAATGTTTGTTCGTAAGTAACACGTAAAGGTACTAATACGCGTGATTTTATTATCTACAGAGGTAATATCAGCTAGTATATTCATGAAGACACTGTTAGTTAGCTACTCACGCCTCACACAGCTTCAACAGTACGGGAAACCACATAGATCAAACAGAACCGCACGAGAAAAGCGAAAAAAATGTTATGTTCTCTGGGGCTATTTCCGAAATATTCTTATAATGTGCTTAGAATGTATTAGCATGATAATATATCTGAACCTATGAAAATGTAAAACAAAATAAAGTATAATTCTAACTTAAATATAGAGTAGAAGCTAAAGCACCATAAAATGGAAATAATATAGAAAAGTACAATTACATTTCCTTCACAATTGTATGCAAAACAAACACTTCCCCCAGCTACTACATTGCCTTTAAAAAGAAATATAATTTAGTGTGCTAATGTTTCTAGATCTGATGAACCATTGCAGCCACCTCAGGACATTATTAGAACAAACTGGGACACCCTTTCAGTTTCTTTCTCACAAGCTGCTTACAGATGTGTTCAGCGTACTTTCTTGCCTGGGTGATAGATGGATAGGGGATGAGAATGGGTCAAAAGCGTAGGTTTCTACCCTATGTATTAATTATGTTACACATTCATCAATATAAAACTGAGTTTGTGAAGGCTAAAAGACAAGTTAGTGTACAAAGCAAGTGTCACATGAATTCTTGTCTTCATGTGTAATATCTTCTTCAAAGTCCGGTGAACTTCTATCTGTCTCTGCATGCGTTATTCAACAATTATGACAAATCCAACAAAAAAACTTTATTTTATTCGTCATGCACATACAAGTATACCAGAATGTTAAAATGAACCTGCTGGCTCAAATTAAATCACTGCTAAATATTAGTCTAAATTATGTCAACAATGTCAAACAAGCTCAACATTTTGACGTATGCTTCTTGGGTGCATCAGCTGTGATTAATTGTCTCTTAATTTATTTATTTAATCAACTCATTATCATTACGTCTGCTACACATGAGGGAGACTTGATCTCTATGTAGTTTTTGGATAATGTGTGAGCAGAGGCAGGAAGCAAACGCAGTGAATGAAGAGGTTTTAGGGTGAGGAGGCCCATTTGAGGTGCTTAAGGGCCTGATGGTGTCTCTTATTGGCTGCTCTCCATCTTGAATGCTTTTGTCCCATCCTCTTGTGTCTGTGGGTGTTCAAACAGAATGCAATTTGCTGACTTTTATGAGAAGGTTGGGTCTGTCACATATTTACAGTGAGTGTAATGATTAATTTTTTCTCTCCCCCACGTAGTCTTAAGCAGCCCTCGTTGACGAGTCTGCCATTACTTAGAGACAGACTTCTGCCTCAGCCTGCTTGTGTCTGTCTTCTCACCCACTAACTGTTTTCTCTCCACTTCTTTGTTTGCTTTTCCTCACACTTTCTTTTCTCTCAGAATTAATGACTGAAATAAGCCTCATTTGCAGTTATGACTTGGTGAGTATGAACTTTTTATATATATTTAAATGTGGCTATATAACTGAACATTTGTAATATAAGAGACCGTTTATTTTCAAAATGTATTAGTCACTGGATTGAGCAGATTATGGGACATATATAAGACAGTTCTAGTTTGCATTTACACCAAACTATCCTGTAATTTTGTATTGATTAGATATCAAATGTGCATCAACTCTGCAAGCAACTTGAGCAACCTGTCACGGGAAGTGCATTCATTTCCCAGAGTGGGTCTATTTGTTCTATCTGTCCGTTAACCATAACAACTGTTTATAATGGAAACCTTGAGTCTGTTCAGGATGGAAAGGTGTCTCAGTAGATTACTTAACCTGACTCTTGTCTTTAGTGTTGAGTCAACCATGCATCGCAAAAGCCTTGTTTAAATTGTTTGATTCTGACCAGATCAGACTCTCCGTCCATACTTCATCATTGTTAATTTGAGTGCTGAGATTCACAACACAGATTTTCTGAATGCACAAATAAAACGTTCACAGTGGAATTGTCTCATAAAATATATATACATGGCTGGGCGGGCAAAGTCGAAGGAGACAACAGGGATGAATTTCTCTTTCGTCTCCTCTTGAAATTGCTTTATGGCCCTGTTTTTCACTGAAGGAGAGGGTTAAGAGTCAATGCTCAGTCGTGATAAGTTAAGAGAGATACTGTTAAACTATAGGAGATGTGGTGTATAAAAGGAAACACACTTGTGTTTACTACTTGAGTTCAAAGCCATATCAATGCCTGTGTGTAAAAGATTAATTTTAATGGTCTAAAGTCTCCCTCCTGACTCAAATCACACTTTCATTTGAATGAATCACCCTAATTTTATTGGTGTCATAAGGGTAACATGTTTCTTAGAAGCAGTAAAAACCAAGATCAGGAGATGTTAGACTATGCTGGATGATATTTTACTCAGCTTTTATTAGGTGTGGGTGGTATTATCACATGAGAGCTCAGATAAAAATGCAGTAAAATGATTTGATTTTATGAGGCCCAACCAGAAGAGGGCAGCATTACTTCATCTGAAACTTTTATCACACCAGTGGCATGTAGTTGAAATGTGCAGGATGTGAAAATCTTATCTTTGAAACATAGTTGGTATCTTGTGGGTACAATAATCCTTTGATTCTGGACCTCATAAATTCACACACACACACACACACACACACACACACACACACACACACACAC